AAGAGCTTCCTAGCTAATCATATTCCTCCTGCAGTCTAATTAAAGATTCTCAATCTGAAAATAAAATTCAATGCAGTGAATATATGAACCTTATGGCGGGACCCCGGGGTCCCATAAACCCCCGGCTCTCGCATAAACTGCTTTGCGACGTCATTTTATGTCTGTTGAAGGCGAACGATACGGCAATCTATTCCTCTCGACGAGCTCTACACGATGCGGTAATCAAAGTTTCAAAGTTTTGTTTCTTCTGCGCATTCGTCCTCGCTGCGCTTGGACGACATGACAACAGAACGATCCGCACCAGGTGGGTCGCGGTGCTTATGTGCGCGGTAGGACGGACTCGCCAAAAATAAGTAAATAAATTGCTATTTTGACTTCCGTTTATTCGGGACCTGTGGGGATCCCGCCATGAAGTTCATATCTCTGCCAGAAAGTGACTCCCCTGCCATATTTACACTTAGTGTTTTCTTCTGTCTCAAATGAGCCCCCAGAGTTTATCCCCCATCTTTGTTGGCAGCCCTAAATCAGTAATGGAATTCCACATTCTTATAAGTGGGGCCTAGGTATATCCTAGGGTGACCACTGTAGGCTTTCCACAGAGTGTTGCTTATGTTGTTGACTCCAGAGCGATAATGAATCAAGTTTCCCTTCAACTGGTATTTGAACAGCAACTTTTCGAGTTGGGCGGCAATGGAATGTCAACACATATGAAAATGGCTAAACATCCCAGTGCAGGACGCCACTGATAAAGCCCATTGAGACTCATTGATGCTTTACTCACTGAGGAAAGCCTCTCTTTTATCTGCATACAGTTTGTCGTTTATACTTTTCACATTGCCTGCATTTGATACCTTATTCAGTCCGCCTCAGTTAATGGATACGCGTCTCAACAGTTGTGACACAGTGCCTGTGCCGGATTGATGATGCATGATTGTGGTGTCTAGTGACGAGGAGACCAAGAGTGTGATGCTTAAACCCTACTCCTCGTAGGGGTCGAGAAAAAAACAAAACCTCCCTTTGATTTACAACTGATGGCACGTGAGTGTGAATGTTTGAATGATTTTAAACATAGTCAGGCTTGACCTTGGTTGAACCAAGGCTCGCTGTAAATACTAAATCCTCCATGAGTTTGTAAGCTGTTATCAGCTGTATATTTACTTGCTTTTTTGACAGTGAATGCGAAATGAGTAGCGTGCATTTTCAGTTGTCTGAAGTGTCCACGATCTACAGAACTACACTATTAATTTGTGGTCATGCTATCTACACCAATGCAAAGTATTGAAAAACCCCTATAAAACACTTATTAATGTCTCACTGATATTTTGAGGTATTTATTGTATAATGTGCCATGTCTTACGCTTGTTTATGTTCGATAAATAACAACCAATGCGAAAATGCTCATGGAAAAATCACAACTTCTGCATTTTAATTATAAGTGAGGGTTTCTGGTATGGTAAGTACTGATCAATTTTATGTGAACACTATCAGATGACAATGCACTTTTTCAATATATCTAAACTGTTAGTGGATTATTTTATACTGAACAAGAGAAGCGGTGCTTGCTCGTGTAGTGTAATAACACCGGCTGGTGACCAGCCGGTGTTATTAGCGGCAACTATGGTGTACAAAAAGTGCACATGCCTGTGAGCATATACACGGGTGTGTTGGCAGGGCGGAGGAACTGGGGCACGGGCCATAGAGGGCCCCATTTGGGAGCCCCTGCAACCTGCTAGTGTGTTCGAGAAGGGAGGCACGGCCATGGCGGAGCCAGGCCACGCTGGTAGGATGCTGGTTTGGGATTGGATCATCTCCGTTGTTGCTGTTGTCTCGTCGCCGTTTTCGCTCGACATTGCAATGCTAGATAGCCTGTTAACTGTCTCATTGCCGCCGATGCAAGACAGCTAGTGTTGTGTCATAGGCTAGCGAGTACAGAGTGTGTACAAGCGAGATTGTGTGTTAATAAAAAAAGGTGCCTCTACAAATATCGTCTCTGAAGTCGTGCACTACAACTGGTGTCAGAAGTGTTGAACCGTCATGTCGAAATCGTCAAAGAAAAGAAATCCACCTGTAGTGTCGTCGGAGGACAAGGACGACGAGGTGATCATCCCTCTGACAGCCCTGGGATCCGGGACCCGAGTTATAAGTCCCGCGGGCGCAGGAGTGGTGGCTGCCGAACTGTGAGAGTGTGGCGCCGATCCTCCGCAGTCACGCGCCGAGGATGGGTGGCGAGAGGTGGCCAGCAGCCTCGACCTGCTCCTCGTCACTGTCACCCAGCTGGTCACGCAGCTCTCCGCGTTCATGCCTGCCGGCCAAGAGATGGCACGGGAGTCGCGGGGCTCGACGGAGTGGCCGCCTGCAGTAGCGGTTCCTGCCTGTCATTTCGCCTGCTGAGGGCGCAGCGCGGCCGACACCCACCATTTTTAGTGCGGCGCGGGACGACAAAAAAGGCGCACCGCCTCTGGCAGCGCTCAAAGGAGCCACATACCTACCCCGGCGACTACCTCCCGTCCAGGAATTTGTGGCGGCGGGAGGGGATTGGACTGCTTGTTGGGGATTGGACTGCTTTTTGACGCCGCTTCGAGGCGGTTTGGTTGTCCGTCGGTTGGACGGAAGAGGAGGCCCTGCGGGCCCTACTGACGGCCCTCGATGATAATGAATTTGCGGCATTCCGGGCCATCCCGGGAAGTGATCGGGCTACCCTCCAGCGGGCATACGCCCAGATAGCGGCTGTCTTCGACCCGCCGTACAACGCCCACAGAAGGTTCTTGCAGCGGGGGCGAGGGGAGGCCGAGACGACTCTCGCTTTTCGCAGCGCACTGTTGACGGCGGATCCTCATATGGACCGGCCGGCACCTGACTCGTTGGCAGTGGAAAGATTGCTGTCGTTGGCGCAGGAGTTGGGTGTCGTCCTAACGATTACTGAGGGCAAGGTGCTGACATCCTTGAGGGTGGCCCGGTGGATTCAAGCGCATTAGAACATGCAACAATGGCCCAAGGTGGCGGCTTGGACGGTGGACGCCGAAGGGGCAGAGGGGCCCACGTGGCGGGATCTGGAGCTGGCGATGGCGTTGTGGGGCCAGGACCTGAGCGGAAGGGACGTCAGGGTACGGCCTCCGGATTGGAGTTTGGGAGAGGTAGTGTCTCCTCCGTCTTGGAGGCCAGCGGGCACCTGTTTTAGATGTGGCTGGCCAGGCCATGCCGCAAGAGGATGCTGGGGTGTCATCAGCATGTCGGTGACACCTCCGATGCCCTCCACCCTACCGGCAACCGCTCCCCAAGCCCCACAGGTTCGGAGCCTCTAATGCCCAGAAAATCTTCCGAGGCCGCCTCATGCGAGGGACCAGAGGCTGGAGCCTGGTCGAGCTTTTCTGTTGAATCCAGGGAGGGGCCGCGCCGTTTAGGACATTTGTGCTAATCCCCGGAGCCCCATGAAATGCAAGATCCTGCCAAAGGCGGGGGACCGGCGTCAAGGACCCGGCCCAAGTGAGGTTCGTTCCGGTGAACGGACTCTCCCTTGTGCTGTGCATTTTAAGTCAAAATCGTGATGAGGATAATAGGCGCCGAGAGGGGGTCGTATAATGTTGTGGTTGTTGTCCGACGGTTTTGTCTGCGCCACGCACCGAGTTGTGCTCTGGTGGATCGGCCACTGCTGCTTGTCTGTTTGCGGGGGGCGTCGCGACTGCATTGTTGTTCACACGTTCGTCGGTTCTGGGATTTTGCTCTTCCTGTCCACCCCGTTGATGTTGCTGTATATCAGCCGGGATGGCTGTTTTTTTAACAAGGGGGGGGGGGGAGGGGGTGATGTAATGTAATAGCGCCGGCTGGTGACCAGCAGCGGCAACTGCCGAGTACAAACAGTACACACGCCGGTGAGCATATGCACGAGTGTGTCGGCAGGGCGGAGGAACTGAGGCAAGAGCCATGGAGGGCCCCATTTGGGAGCCCCTAGAACGTGCTAGTGGGTTCGAGAAGGGAGGCGCAGCCATGGCGGATCCAGGCCACGCTGGTAGGATAAAAGGAGCCAATAGCGGGAGCTCGAGGCTGCAGGTTTGGGATTGGATAGTCTCGTCGTTGCTGTTGTCTTCGCTTGACATTGCGCTGCTAGATAGCCTGTTAACTGTCTCAGTCAGCGCCTCCGATGCTAGATGGCTAGTGTTGTGTCATAGGCAAGGGAGTACAGTGTGTGCAGGCGAGATCGTGTGTGTTAATAAAGAAGGTGCCTCTACAAATATTGTCTCTGAAGTCGTGCACTACACTCGTGTAGTGAAGTTGAGGAAGTGCTGACAAACTGCCTTCAGTAACAGTTAACCTGGCTGATAGTTTGCATATTTGTCTATCGTGGGTACGGGCACACTGAATGTGTTACCTGTGTAAATTGTGACAATAAATTAGTTGATTAACATGAAGCCAACTATTTGTCTAGATTATTGTTTGTAATTATATTTTGAGTTTGTATTATTTTGTTTCTAGGTTAAAATAGCAGTGGTGTTAAACTTGACAAGAATTATAAAAAAATAATTCAGTTTTATTTGTGAATGTAAAAGCTATTGTGCAGGCGTTACAGGCACACCTTTCATTACTTGGAGCATCTTATGTATGTATGTTGAACTTATTTTGCATCATTCTTAGCCAACCATGCTAATCGGAGGTGCGCATCAATCGATTGATCACATATGTGTTGTGATGGCGTGGGTTCCCTTGCCGTATTAAAGCTGCGTGGGTGTGTTGGTTGAATGCTGCTTGAAAGAGGAAAGCTGCCACATTCGTAATATAATCAAGCACCGTGCACACGTCTTGTGTGTTTTAAACAACTTTACGCAGACTTGCAAATGCTTGCACATAGAGTTTGTAAGCTGGTGGGCTTGTAGCAGGATAAGCAAATGTAGCAAAATGAGGTGTACTACACTTGCTGAATTTTCACGAGTGGCTTCCTTGAAAGTGTTTTGTTGGAGTGTTTTTGTTAACCATTTATTTACTTGTTTGTTTTAATTATGTTGCAGGGACCAAGTTTTGGAGATGTTTGACCATGCCTATGGCAGCTACATGGTAAGACGCCACAACTATAATGTACTACTATAATGATCCAAGAATGTCTGTGTGCCACGCGTGACGTCACTCCACGTCGACCAGCCCCCCTCATTAATAATCATGAACAGGTGACGTCTTCCAAATGGACACCCCCCTCCATTAATAATAATTAGCGGATGACGTCACTCCACTAGGGGGGGCGAGGCGCCTCCCCCCTCCTCGGCGTCAACTTACAACCCTCACTACAAAGGCAGAACTCTCACGTCACGTGACCTCCGTAACGCTATTGAGACGTAGAAGTAAAAAGGACATCATGATGAACAAGGGATTATAACCTTTACATGAAATAAGTCTGTGTCACCGCAGCCTTACATATTGCACACGCATGGATGCAATGAATATCACGTCGCGATCTGCTTTTCGCTTGCAAGTTTCAGATTTACTGCAATATACACCCGTCCGGGCAAAAGGCTAGTAAACATTTACATGTATAAGACCATAAGCACTAGCAGGCAGGTCATACGTACGTATTCTTAATTCTTATTTTACAGAATATGAAATCGGCGTTGTGCATTTTCAATGTGTCTTGAGGCAAATTTAATGACAACCTATTTGGCCTTTATTATCTGCTTTTACCAGAGAATAAAAAAAGATTAAAGTTTTATGAAATCTAAATTAAATGGATAAGTTATTTGTAAACATGTTATTTTAAAATCCATGGTAATTGTTTTTTTCTCTGCAAGATAACCTCGCATGAAGACCACGTTATAATCTGTGGTTAATGTGTAACCCCCTAGATTTTGAACACAATGTCATCGTTATGGTTAAGTTAGAATTTCTGTCTTTGCTTTGGTCCTTTTCCCCATTGTGTTGTGTTCCCTTTTGAAACTGTAACAACCTTACTTGCTGCCGGTTCCTTTATGATTGTTGAATGCATCATGAGTATCGAACGTGCATGCAATTTTTTTCAGGCACATTCCATTCTATGCAATAATATATGCCAAGGTGAACTAATTTGAGTTCCTTAGTATGATGTGAAAATACACAACCTTTTAGAGTGCAGCAGATGGCTTGTAACTTATATGCACAGCAGCTTGATTTAACCACTAGCTAGGCCTTTACACAGTATTTACAATTCTGTGCATTTGTATACAATTTAAACGTTTTTTCAAATATAATGAAATTCATAGATAATCTGTGCTCCATTGAGCAATGGACCAGTATTTACATTCATTGTTGACACTCGGGTGGTAGTGGAAATTCTTATTTGTCCATCGGGACAACCAACGTGGACTTCCCACGGAGTAGTGTTCGTCTTTTTTGACCCCTAAGGAAAGATAAGGTTATTCGACATCACACTGGGATTTTCAGCATAGGAATAGTATTTCTGCCAAAGTGCATTGGGGCTAATATGAGGGACAACACTCTTTTGAAAAGCTGAATATCATCTCTGGATCATGAAGTTGGTCCTCTTTTGTTTTACTTGTACCGATGGTTAATCAAATTTTACACAGAAGATGCGATGCATGTATTGTGAGCATGAGAATCGATGTTAAGCTGAACTGATACATCGTTACGTGCCCACTCGTAAATACTGTTGCTTATTTTATTGACACTTCAGGAATGATAGGCTTAGTCGACAACAGGCTGAGAATTTTACATCTGCCTGCAAGTGGAAAGGACTGAACATCTGTTGAAATTGAATCTCCAACTCGGATCATTTAAATGGCTCACTCGCAAGTCTAGTGACCGCCCTCGCTGTCCAATCACAGAGGAACCAGAATTTAAAAAATAATGAAAACCTATTTTGGTGTTCATGCAGAAGTCACGCGTTCCGGTTTGACTTGTTGCTGCGGCGGTGGCTGCACACGTGTGCTTGCGTCAATTGTATTTCAAAGTGCACATGTCTTGTCATGCTGCCCGCGTGTGCACCGGTTTTTTGTACGCGATCTGTTTTACAACGCGAGCCTCTGGCACGTGACTCCGCAACCCACGGGGAACACGGACGAACGCGCAGCGCCTATCGCAGTCGACAAAAGCCACCAAAACCGTATAGCTCGCTAATATTACCTTTTAATAACAACATGCTCGCATTTTACATTGCAGTATTCCTAACTCATTGTCAGAACCAAATGCATTCAAATGGGATCTTTGTCTTTGCTATCGCTGCGTTGATATAAGATGTTGTCGTTTAGAGGCTGAATTTGCTTCCCAGGATGTGTTTGCTCCTTTGCATTATAACAAAGTGGAAGCTAATGTCATGCTGCCTGACTCACTTATAGTTAGGACAACAGCCGTCTTCTTTTTTTTTTATATAGGAGCCCTTGAGAGCAGGTACAACAATAGATATTTCAATATCGCACCGCTAGAATCCAGAAAGTGAAAGTCTCCCTGCTCGATTACACAACAAACAGGTATTCACTTATTTTAGTGGTTCTGTGCCAGGTTTTGAAATTCCGCATTTCCATGGTGGGGGCAATCCCTTATTTGGACAGTTATTCTTGCTTGTCAAATAGACTGTGGTGTGCATTTTGATTACCCTAGGATGATTATAGGTTTAGTCGACCCCTGGCCATCGTGAACTCTTTACCTTTTGACAGTGCCACCGAGTATAGTCTTAAGATAAATATTTGTCTTGACATGTCAAGTATGTCAGCTGAAAAATAATCTTACATGTGCAATGATGCCATCCTTCTCAGATAAACTAACATAACTAACATAAAGCATTAATAGTTTTTTTTTGGTATTGCGGCAATGTGGGTAGAGCGCTCAACTGGGAAATGGAAATTCGCAAGTTAAAGTCTCAGGGTTGATAACTTGGTAACGTGAATAGTGGTTGGCCCATGTAGTGAATGGTTCCCACCATAGGAATGTGGAATGTCCACGTCTGGTTTCCAATAGAAGATGGGCAAAGGCGCGTTGGTTATTTGAGCAAAGATACAATTTTAATTTACTTTTTGCGTGACAGACCAACACATGGGAATTGTGGTCATTAAGATGAGCCACTTTGGCAATTAACTTGCACAGTTCATTGATCATGATCTGCATGGTGAGTGCTGTATTAAGGGGGTGGCTGGACTATTGCCAACCCCCCCCCCCCCCCGTTTGTCTCCACCCACGTGCCTCCATTTAACTTTATGCCAATTCTTTAATCACGTGATGTAACAGAAAAATTGCAGCTGTCGCTGCTGCAGATGGAAGCATAAATATAAAATTTGGCCTTGACAGCAGTTGAAATGACGGGAAGATTTAATGGCAGGGAGCACTTAGTTGGCACTGTTGAGCTCCTTGGTTCAAATGCAGAGTTGCTCATGATTTAACGAGGTTTCAGGTGTTGGGAATTTATGGTTTCAGCCCAATAGTAAAATACTACAAAAAAAGTAAAAACTTTTAAAATTTTAATCTAGTTTTTTCCATTTAATATGGCCTACTCAAACTCTGGATCCAAAAAAATATATTTTGGTGGAATTGACGTGCAACGAGAGCACGTTTTAGTAGAGCATACAGACAGCCGTGTTCCATGTGCGGGAGGCCTCTCGACCGACTGAAGTATTTCTTGTCAATGTCGTTCAAGGCGCTGCTTTCTCCAAAGATTTCCGCAATTGAAATGTCTTCCCGTGACAGCGCTTTGATATTATGACTGGAATATTATTGAGTCTAAATAAAGATATTGTTTTATGGCAGAATGACTACTTACCTTTTTATGGCATCGCCACAGCTTTTACTTAGGCATTCAACCTCGGTGACTGTTCTCCATGGTTCAGGGGCTCCATCCACCCTTGATTTTCGCTGCTGCCTATCAAATAGATGAATAAGTTGTGTGCCTGGAGAATGTGTTGAGAACAAGTCTGAGTACTACAGTTTTTTGTAAAGATGGTCTGATTTAGGGTAGGCTTTTTTAAGGTTTTTGAGGCAAGAGTGCGTGTCTTTGACAATCGTTTTTGGGTTTTTTTTTAATCTCCACTCGGAGGAGTTTGTGTAATGTGTGAGTACGTGCATGACCTTCAGGAATAGCTCTAAAGAATGGAACAGTGCGCTTTGTTTGCCTAATGTGTGACTGCCTTGTTGGCAGTGCCACATCATCGTAAAATACCCGCGCACTGTAACCATTGCACATAGTTGCGCATAGATTACACGTGTGCACTATTATGACATCTTAACGATTGCAAATTAACTTTATTGCCATACTGTTATAATGTACTGTATATTTAAAAGAGAGGACATGACCCTTAAAACACAAATGTCTCTCATCTCGTAGATGCTTACGTGAACTGTGTCCCGAGGCTTTCTTGGCGCAAGTTTGAATTTTTGTGAATGAGGAAAAAAAGGTCACGATCACGTGCTCATCGAGTCAGCGCCAGCACAACAAACGGTGGACCACAATCGTGAACTCGTGTCCACTGGGCGTTCGTTGTCTCCGAGGGCACGGATGGGGGGCGCATTCTCTTGTTGAGCTCTTGAAGCCGGCAACTTGTACATCCATTTTGCAGTTAATGCTCAATTCATATTTGCAAGGACTAAAGCGTGTATTGACGTTTGTTTAAAGCAATTTTTTTACATATTAGAATTTTTTTTGCTGTATACAAGAACGAAGGCCCGTTAAAACGTTGGGTGACAAAACACAACCGTGTGCGAATATCTGACAGGCCTCTGTGCGCAACGCGTTTTGATTGATATGGGGGAACGGTCAGCCCAGGGAGAAACCAATATTTATTTTAGTGATCCAATAGGCAGGAGTGTGTTTGTTATTCTTATACTTTAGTCATTATCGCACAGACTAATACTGTAAAACCTTTTCCACCGAGGCAGGCCTATGACAACAAAAATCCAGTAATAAATATCCGATTGTTTATTATTAAAAATATAGAGCTGCACCTCAGCTGCTGTAAAAAAAAAACGATAACTGAGTTATCAGCTCGTGTAAATACTTTTTAGCTCATGCTTCTCAAGCACTACCAACGCTGTTCCCTAAACCTTATTAGAAGTTACATCATTATTACCCACCCACCAGTTAAAGCGTTGTTGAACGTTCCCCCAGATGGATCGATACTCCCAGCTGCAGATGTTGCCCTTCACTCCTATAATTATCGAATGACAATCTTTGTTAACTAGCCATTTGTAGTTGATACAATGTCACAAAGCTGTGCTTAAGGCATTTGAGTCCTGTATTTTCCAAAAATTATCTGAACAACATTTAAAAATCAATTGTATGGCTTGGTGGCCCATTTGTTAGTGCTCCACCTGTAACCAAAAGGCCATGAGCTCAAAGCAGTGTCAGAAGTTGACTGGGCCTGTCATCCTTCTGAGGTCAATACATTAAGCACTGTTTCTGAGAAGTAATGCGTAATCGCCCTATGGATAGAATTATCCCTGTCATAGGAGCTTGGAATTCTTCAATCTGATCATGGTTTTAAATCATGCCCAGTCTGAATGTGGAGGGGATGAATCGTGGCATTCCTACCTGTTACCTTAACTATATCATGGCTGTGGAAAAGACTGGAGCAGTTTCATGGAAGAGGTTACATCTGGCACAACGGTGATCGAGGTTGGGATGACCCTTTGTCTCTCCGGCTTGACGGTTTTCTCGTCATTGCATTTGATGTGTCTCAGCTGGCCAATGCTTCTCCCACATTGTCAAACCGTACACTGTGAGCATGGTGTTGCATCTTTTGTACATCAGCAATGCGTTATAGATACATTCACGATGTGGCAGGTCATTAACCCCATGAGCAATGGTGTGTTTAATCTTGGCAGAAGTTCCCATTATGCCTTTAGATTAATTTGAATTTACGCTATGTGAATTAAAATTCATCCTTACGCAATTCGTAAAGGTAAAGGATATTAAACAAATGTTAAACAGAATGCCGATTTTATATTCATGTAGCTTAGCATTTACCGTTTAATTGTTTATGAGAGCAGCTGCTCTCTGAAAACATTGAATTTCATTGGCGTAAATGCATAATACAACGCAAGACAGATTCAACAGCCAGTCTGTTTTTAGGAGCAAATTATACATGTGTATCACTGCTCAATGGGCGCCGCAGTGGCGAGATGTTAACTACCTTGCCTTGGTATGCAGGAGGTCGTTGGTTAGATCCGATCCTGACACCTGTATATTTGCAGTTTGCGTGTCTCTCTCCCCGTGGTCGCGTGGATTTTTCTCTGGTTCCTCCGTTTTTTCCCTCCACATTTAGAAACATACGTTTAGAGTATTTGGCTGCTATAAATTTCCACACGATAAGCCACTTAATTGAGCAATAATTTATGGCCAGGTCGCTTCTGAAAAAGAACTGTGGGCCTTACCTGTTAAAATAAAAAAGTTTAGGTCAGAATGAGCAGTGTGCAGAGTTCATTTAATTTGAGGTAGAAATTCAACTTTGCAACAGTGCCCCATCTTATATTCAAACTGCACACTGTTCATCCAGCAGAGCTGAATGAACACGAGTCTCTTTTTAGTGCTTTTTTTTTTAGTTCCGCATCAGCACAGACCAGCGAATAAGCTGATCTGTGCTGATCTGATTTTTTTCGTAGAAAATAGTTTTGCATCTTTTTAGACTCGGATATCAAGTAAAAAAAAATCCTTTCACGTAGACCAGGGGTCGGGCAACCAAAATAACAAGAAGAGCAATTTTTGTTTCTAATTCGGTGAAAAGAAATAGCTCAGTATTTCAAAAGCCGCAATGCCATGTGAATAACGTCACGAAGCAGCAGTCCTTAAAGAGCCGCATGCGGCTCCGGAGCCACCGCAGGTTTCTGACTCCTCACATAGAATGATCCCTGTCATAGGAGCTTGGAATTCAGATTTGCACCATCTTAGAAAAATCCATACCCATTTGCCCGTTACTTCCCCTGCAATCTGCAACTGTCTTTTGTGGATTAATGGAATCACTCGGGACTCTCCTCCCACAATCTGTCACACACCGCGCCGTCGTGAACATTGTTTTTTTGTTCGCGATTTACGGGACTAACCCCCACGATGCACTGCGGATTACGGGAACCGTAATATGGTCCTCTCCACCCCTCCCCCCCCATATCACCGTGAGTTTTATCAGTCCAGCTGTATCCACGTTTGGTGTTCTGAGAAGTGCAGGTGAGGCATACCTTTGTATGGTGACCCATTTAGTCACCGTATGTACCTCATTGTAATGCATTGGTCTCAGAGTACAGTTGCTATTGTATACAGCTCATTTAAAATAACAATGGCCACCATTCTTGCGACTCACCAATCCACCCAACACCTGCACACGAGCTGATTTAATCACTGCATCAACATCTTCTTCATTACGATCATCCTAACGATGATTACTCGTTTGACAATTCAAAACTATTTGTGAACGTTCTTAACATTGCTTACTATTATCTGTCCCATAGACTAGTCAATGTTTGTTACAATTGCCCAAAACATTGGCCTACTATATGTTGTCCATTACTTTGCAGTGTTCATTAATGATGTGGTCATTGTTTTTATTGATCTGTGATGGCTCGATTGATTAACATGCACACTCTGACCCAGCACACAGTGGGTGCAAATTTGCAAATGCAGTCTTGGGGTCTTTAACACCCCGAATTATTGGGACATTTCTCACCACTCAAGGTAAGGTGCGTTGAATAGAGAGTGACGGGAGTTGAGTCGTCATTTCGACTCCCGAGGCGTGCGTGCAATTTAACGTGTCGTCTGGTGTGCAGAGGTACGCGTACCCGGCCGACGAGCTGATGCCCCTCAGCTGTCGCGGCCGCGAGAGGGGCAAGGAGCCCAGCCGGGGGGATGTGGACGACGCCCTGGGGAAGTACGTGCCTCAGTGTCGTCGTTGTTCTCTGTGCATTTTGGTTTTTAGGTTCCAAGATTTGTGTAAATGGATTAGATGCTATTTACTTGGTAGCAAACATCTGCGTTTGTCCGTTGACATGCTAAAAATGTGTCCATGTCTGGGGCTGCTCCATGTGCCTGCAGAGTGCACCTTGCCCTGGTACAAGTGCCGTCATGACATCACTGCCACTTTGTGCCAAATAGCAGCTGCTGTTATGTTTGTGCAGGGAGTGGCTGGCATAATGGTTATCAAAGTTCCAGCCACCTGTGTTAGATTCTCAGCAGTGCACATCACCTGTGCGGTCTGAACCTGGTTTAGTCAGTTTATTTTGGGTAAGTTCCATAGAGCTAAGCAGCTTTCTATGGTGACCTTCCCACAGTTAACTCAGCCTTGTTTGAGTGCTTGCCATGGTGTGTAAATGTCACCATTGAGTTGCTAGTGTCACCAGCCCTTCGTGTGCCATGCTGGCCCTAGACGATAGGCACTCATGGCACGTGACGCTTGAGTGTTGTCTGCCGAACAGGTATCTTTAATTTGTGCATTGAGCTAACATGGAGATATCAATTTGAATTGTTGTAGTTTTATTGGAACTTGGTGTGTGTGCTTGCTTTGATATAGATGGGTCCATGGCCTTGGTTAAGGCTAGAGGCATGGAGAACAGAGGGCATCTGTGGGGGGCAGGGGCGGAGCCACAGGGGGGCCTGCGGGGGGCTTAGCCCCCCCTGAAATTTTGGGAAAGTCGGTAATCGGGATAACCGTATAGCCGGCTGCTGCAAAATGCTGCAGGCTGCCACCTTGTGCTGCCCTGCAGGCTGCTTGAGCGGCAGCCTTTTGAACTTATCGAACTTATTAGCCACATCAGCGGCTCCGACCTTTTAATAAACTCCGCGTTCAAGTCCAATAAAATTAGTTTTATACATTTGTGGCGCCCATTGGAAAATATGAACATACTGAGATATCTCAGAATATTGAAGTCAGCCCCCCAAAGTCCAAAATCCTGGCTCCTGCCCCTGGTGGGGGGTGGAGATAGGGGCACGGAAGATAGGCAGACAAGTGTGAATTACATCTTAAAAGAAAGACAGAAAACCCCGTAGACTGTTGAAGCAGTAATATAATCGTACGCTAAGCATCAATTATCGTTATTTTAAGCCACTAAAGTGTGCAATATACAGTGAGGGAAAAAAGTATTTGATCCCCTGCTGATTTTGTACGTTTGCCCACTGACAAAGAAATGATCAGTCTATAATTTTAATGATAGGTTTATTTGAACAGTGAGAGACAGAATAACAACAAAAAAATCCAGAAAAACGCATGTCAAAAATGTTATAAATTAATTTGCATTTTAATGAGGGAAATATGTATTTGACTCCCTCTCAATCAGACAGATTTCTGGCTCCCAGGTGTCTTTTATACAGGTAACGAGCTGAGATTAGGAGCACACTCTTAAAGCGAGTGCTCCTAATCTCAGCTTGTTACCTGTATAAAAGACACCTGTCCACAGAAGCAATCAATCAATCAGATTCCAAACTCTCCACCATGGCCAAGACCAAAGAGCTCTCCAAGGATGTCAGGGACAAGATTGTGGACCTACACAAGGCTGGAATTGGCTACAAGACCATTGCCAAGCATCTTGGTGAGAAGGTGACAACAGTTGGTGCGATTATTCGCAAATGGAAGAAACACAAAAGAACTGTCAATCTCCCTCGGCTTGGGGCTCCATGCAAGATCTCACCTCGTGGAGTTGCAATGATCATCAGAACGGTGAGGAATCAGCCGAGAACTACACGGGATGATCTTGTCAATGATCTCAAGGCAGCTGGGACCATAGTCACCAAGAAAACAATTGGTAACACACTACGCCGTGAAGGACTGAAATCCTGCAGCGCCCGCAAGGTCCCCCTGCTCAAGAAAGCACATATACATGCCCGTCTGAAGTTTGCCAATGAACATCTGAATGATTCAGAGGATAACTGGGTGAAAGTGTTGTGGTCAGATGAGACCAAAATGGAGCTCTTTGGCATCAACTCAACTTGCCGTGTTTGGAGGTGGAGGAATGCTGCCTATGACCCCAAGAACACCATCCCCACCGTCAAACATGGAGGTGGAAACATTATGGTTTGGGGGTGTTTTTCTGCTAAGGGGACAGGACAACTTCACCGCATCAAAGGGACGATGGACGGGACCATGTACAGTCAAATCTTGGGTGAGAACTTCCTTCCCTCAGCCAGGGCATTGAAAATGGGTCGTGGATGGGTATTCCAGCATGACAATGACCCAAAACACACGGCCAAGGCAACAAAGCAGTGGCTCAAGAAAAAAGCACATTAAGGTCCTGGAGTGGCCTAGCCAGTCTCCAGACTTTAATCCCATAGCAAATCTGTGGAGGGAGCTGAAGGTTCGAGTTGCCAAACGTCAGCCTCAAAACCTTAATGACTTGGAGAAGATCTGCAAAGAGGAATGGGACAAAATCCCTCCTGAGATGTGTGCAAACCTGGTGGCCAACTACAAGAAACGTCTGACCTCTGATTGCCAACAAGGGTTTTGCCACCAAGTACTAAGTCATGTTTTGCAGGGGGGTCAAATACTTATTTCCCTCATTAAAATGCAAATCAATGTATAACATTTTTGACATGCGTTTTTCTGGATTTTTTTGTTGTTATTCTGTCTCTCACTGTTCAACTAAACCTACCATTAAAATGATAAACTGATCATTTCTTTATCAGTGGGCAAACGTAATTAAGTGATTATTTTAAGCACAGAACTGCAAGTGAACGTGCTTTTTGGCGAGACGTGCATTCTCGAATCCTCACAAGTATTTACGTGCAGTGCAGTTGTGACAAGACTGCAGTTCAATGCTTGGAATTACCAAAAATCCTGTCAAAGGTGTAGTGGTATGAGTTTTTTTAAATGTTTATATTGGGCAGATTTAGTTGTCTGACTGTTGTATCGATGTAATTACACATTCATCAGTGATGCAATGCATTTCCTATTGTGCCAGGACTGTTATTCAATGAATTGGAAAACCTAAGGATCAGACAATTTGTTCAATTTGTTGCAAAAAACGGATGTGAAATTGGCCAAACAACCTGATGCAAGACCTTCCAGAATAAAGGCTTTAGACTCCGTAAGGATAACTAAATAGACAGATACAACAATGACATTACAATTGGGCAGGAATTTATGCAATAAAAATATTCATTTATCATTCATCCATAACCCCGGGAGGTTGACGTTTCTTCCGTAATGTGTCCTCGTGAAGTTCTCAGAATGCCATACGTGTCACGCTGGCTCGAGAGGTAAAGACATTGCACGAGACAAGTTAATGATCCTCCATGAGCAAGTCCTCATTGTCAATCTTTAAACATTGTCGTGTTCTAGATTAACCCCGAACGTGCATGTCTCTGAACCCTTGTCGGAAGGCCAGACGACAGCGGTTAATTTACATTCGTGTGGTCATCTGACCCAATCAGCACTTTAGGTGTATGTATACGTAGCCAACCATGCTAATCGGAGGTGCGGGGGAAGGACAACAAACTAAACAGAAAAAAAGTCTTTATAAAGAAATGAGTTTTCAATCTAGATTAAAAAAAGTGCCATCGCTCCATTGGCTTCCTAATATCGGAAGGAAGAGAGTTCCAGATGGACGCAGAATTGCATCTGAATGCGCACGATGCAGTGACCATCTTTTTTCGATGGCGAGCCAAAAGCCGCTGCGAGGATGACCAGAGTACGCGTGATTGTTTGTTCTTTGACGAGATCAAAAAAGTATTGTGATTCATTTGTGGCAAGCACTTTGTGTTATGAGTGCTACCTTATAATGACTTTGTTTGGCAAACCGGACGCTGTCGGGTCTTTGTATCTCTTTGTTTGCTCTTTCATCATCATCATCATCATACATTTTCTATCCCCTGCTCGATGAAGGCCTCTGCACACAGTTGCCTTGCCCGCATTCATGCAATGTGAACATCCGTGTCACTCATGTTTGTCAATGTATCTTATAGGCATATTTAGAGCAGCCATTCGTCAGCAGTCACTGGCATCACAGAGTAGTTGCCAGGAGCCATGTCATATTTTGGACAATATTTTTTGTTTGCACTGACGGGACCCCCATATTTGGAGGGAGTGATCTTGCCAACAGCGCCTGGTAAACCATAAGTATTTGTTTAGCATGCCTGACTCAACAGAGACACAGAAGAGACAGAGTTTTCATGCTTATACAATTGCTTATTATATATTGGTCTTGAAGGACCATAAACATACATGTGATTTGTATGTGAAGATATAGAATGAAGGCTAATTGATTTATTGAGAAATTTTATATATATGATGTATAACAGTCCCATATCAATTGATATTCTACAGTTAAATTTATGATGTTGGACATGCATATTAAGTACAATAGTTGGAAGTAATGGAGGTGCATGACTTAAAAATCAATAGCTCAATTTTCACACTCTATTAACACTTTGTAATTGAATGGTATTTTCATCCCTGCAGGTTTTCCCTGACGCTTATTGACTCTTTGGATACCCTTGTGGTAGGTGAAATCAAATTTTTATACTCGCTGGGCGTTGTTTTTATTCGGTTATTTATTGCGTAGCTTCGTGCTTGTTGACAAAGCTGTAATCACTGCCGTGCACCTGTACATTTGCCTAATTAACCATGTGTGCATTGTCAAAAAAAAGAGATAATGCATTATATTGACACCAGATTAACATAAAACGTACTGTGGTGTGAGCTTTGTGCTTCATATCTACTATGTACACAGCTGAACTGAAGGTCTGATAAAACGTCTTTTTCATGCGTGTCTAAACAAACGTGTGTGTTGATTGTAGCATGCTCCTGTTTTATTCTGGGTTTGTTTGGCGCTATGCTTTCATCATAGCTCTTTGGAGACAGGTTTCGTGGATTTGCATGGTTATCTTTTCTGTGGATTCCTAATCCTCTGGGAGTGTGAGCAGAACGTAGGCTCGTGACTCGTCCGTGTGAAACTTTTAATTGTTTATGTATGGGTTTTTTTTCTGGGCACTCCACTTTCCTCCGACATGCAAAACGCTGAATTCACGAGGAATTGGCCAAATTTCATGTTGTGATACCCTCCTGAAAATGAGTGGACACTCAACGAGGCTTTTCAGTAGAGCTGGGCTATCCGATTATGGAAGTAAATTATCACTCTCCCAATGATCGGTTTGATTACCTGGCCGACATCATCACACATTGTCGTAAAAATAGCCTCACCTTTGTTCCCACCATGTCCCCACTGGATGGGAGGTGACGGGCGGTGGCTTGTGACGTCACTGGTATCATCAGCTCGTCACAGTGATGGGCGTGTCTTATAGGGGTTTCCTGCCTTCAGGAGGCATGATGCAGGGGTGTCTACCAACTTTAAGAGGCACAGAAACAGTAGTCTATTACAATCTTTAATTCATCAATCGACTTAACTGACCAATCGTCGCAGCTATACTTTCTCGGATAAATAACGCACCATTCAATTGTACATAAAGGTTTTTTGGATGAGATCCCGTAAATATAAATGTGTCGTTATACCTGCCACCACCCAACAAAACCGATTGGTAAGGTTTGTCACGTAAAGAAAACGTGACGAATAGTTACTAGTTCAGAAAACTGGTGTATTGGAGGGTAAACCCACAACATTTACAATTTTAGTATGACGTTTCACTGGTGAATACAACCAGATTTATCAGGCGATAGCCAGAATTTGAACGACACATTTATATTTACAGGATCTGACCCAACAAAATCTTTATCATGGATAATATTGGTTGCAAAAGCGTATGTGTTAAATATTTGTTTGTATTTCACCACACTGGAAGCCGTCCCAACAACGGCCCTGGCTTACGGATGTCAGTGCTTAGCGGTGGCGTGTTTCTGCGGCGCGACCCTGCAGGTGCTGAACCGTCTCGATGAGTTTGAGGACGCGGTGCGCATGGTCGTGCTGGACACGCGGCTCGACCACGACGTCGTCGTCTCCGTCTTCGAGACCAACATTCGCGTGCTCGGGTATGCTCTGCCCTCCCCGCCGACGCAAACGCGAAACAACATGTATATGCATGCGTCGCGAGAGCGACGGACAAAAGGGGGAAACAATCTTCCAATATGAACATCCCGTTCGTTTGCTTTTAGGTTGGACAACTGTTTGTGACACATTGTTTCTTTACTAAGAGTGTTTGTTTTGACAGCTTTGATTACTGGACATCTGTGAAAAAGAGCTTTATAGCACATCGGATTTCTCCAGTATAAATACATTTTCTGATTATTGTTATTTAAAAGTTTTTCTGGCATGGTGTGTGATTATTTTGGTTCCTGGATATTGTTTCGGGGGGTGGTTGGGCGATTAAACTCCTCAAACCTGCAGTATGTGCAATGTTCACTCGAGAACCCCACCCACAGTTACATCAACCACCCATTTTTCAAATATTCATCCCTGTTGTGACAGTTTTGAGTATCATATCAGAAACAACACTCGAGGTGACATTACTGAGCGGTCATACGGCCTAGCGGTAGCGGGCTTGCTGCTTGTTGCAGAGGTTCATGGTTCGAATCCAGTGGCCGCCCTGGTTATTACTGCGGGTGTAAATTAACAAAAAAATATGCACTGTCTGTATATCTGCTTCACAGTGCGTGTCAAAGTTCCCCTGGTGTCATTCGCAGGTGTGGGCTATTGTGTGCTAGCGTCAAGGGTCCGAATTTTCCAAATTCTGCAAATTGCCTCAAATTACGCAATTGGGATTATTATATGGAACAATCATCTTCCCCTACTAGCAGACTAATGCCCAGGTCACTTTTACAAAATGAGAGCATTTTTTTTTTTTAGAAATTAGTTTCCAAACCATTTCTACGTTCATTTTTATAAGCAGGCTATCTTCTCGATAGGACAACCACAATGTCACGAGATGTGTTTCTGTTGAATTTAATTATAGTGATTTGAATGTATGAAGTAGTTAATTAATTTGTCATTCAAGATCGTGATTTTGACACTTCTAATTCAGCGTCGTCATGGAGGCAGGATTGGTGAATAGCAGAGAGCATCGTGTTTGTGTGCACCATGCTAGATCACGGTGCACTATGTGGCATTCTGTCCTGTTTATGCTTAAGTTTCACACTATACTCTTCTGTGTGTATGGCTCTTCAGATCCGTCAGTTTTCTCTGACATGCAAAACACTTATTAGGAATTGGACAAACATCCCAATGCAAGACCGTATTAAAGAGTGTTGCATTTTTGCTCGGTGAGGCTTTCCTAGATTAAGTGCTATCATACAGGGTGATTAATTTATAAACACCCTTCAAAAATAATTGGAAGAAATTACTGATTAAATAATATTTACATTTCTCCTGGAATAGATGTTATATGTACCAAAGATCCGCGAATCTTCATCACTACGACTGCCGTTGAACTTCTTTCGCACCTCCGATTCGCAGAGTTGCCTACGTACTGTGCGAAAGAAATTCAACAAGCATACATGATACATATGGAGCCGTTGCTTTCACGACATTCAATCACCTGTTGAGAAGGAAGCAGTGACGTTTGAAATACGGGGTGGGGGGGGTATCTATAAATGGATCGCCCTGAATTGCTATTTACGTTTTGTGTTGTGCGCCAGCGGGCTGCTGGGCGGGCATGTGATGGCTATGATGCTGCAGGAGAAGGGCGAGCGCATGCAGTGGTATAGCGGGGAGCTGCTGCACATGGCAAAGGAGGTTGGCTACCGCCTGCTGCCGGCTTTCAACACCTCTAGTGGCCTGCCCTACCCACGAGTGAGTACTTCTTCGCCCCCCCCTCCGCGCCACCTCCCCCGCACCCCCACAACTTTCCTCTGCCTACTCACTTGATGCCTCGGCCACACCATCTGACCGTTTGCTCCACTGCTGAAGACAGCACCCTCTAGTGGTCATGTCGGTAGACCATTCAAAATCGGGGACGTTACATCACTTGCTTGTACTCAAACTGTAAGTGTTGTGGATTCACTCTTCAACACACCGGTGGGCTAAAGTAGTGAATTATTTGTCTTTTGTCAACGTGACACTTTTTTTTTTGCTGATTGGCCGTGTCGGGTGGTGGAGGGTTGCGAAACATTTATAAATAAACGCGATCTAACCCAAAAACCTTTATTATGTATTATTACTTGCTATGTATTTAGATTTTATTTATTTCAGCAGGAAGGGCCCAATAAGCGTCCTGTATATGCAGACTTAGAGATGCGATTCCCTACTGCAGTAGACTCGCACGTCTGTAACTCAGTCTTTTGAGGATTTATTTTGCGCAACTAATTGGCTTATTCTTACACGTTTTGTCCAGTTCCTGGTAAAAGTGAGTGTCGTCATGCTTAAAGACCCCAACCCAAAGCACAAGCAGCCCTGATGTTGAAGCTGCGTACCTAGGCTGCACGTGCTGGTATGTCCGACATTAATTTGCAGCTTCGTACATAATAAAACAACAGTTAATCTTATCACGGGTGCTCCATTACAGCACTCCAATTATATTGCTGTAGCGTTATGAAGGAGCACCTGACTGATTTTAAAGCTTCGTGAACACAGGAGCTCAGTGGTGGGATTCACTCGGTGCACTTACATGAGCTCAGCATAACAACCCCCCAAGCCACAACAACAATAGCTGGCAGTCGTAGTCGGCGAGGCCAAATTTTACACGTTGACTAAACAGCCGATGACATCTTCATCATCTCAGCGAGTCTGCGGCATTTGCATCGTGCATCTCTCCCGAGGTCTCCATTTACCCTTTGATGCCTCCGTCCACCTGCGCGGTCGCCTTCACCCCCACCTGTGCCGCTGCCCCTGGCAGGTGAACCTCAAGCACGGCATGGTGCGGCCGCAGTCCAGGACGGGCGTGGAGGTGGACACGTGCACGGCGTGCGCGGGCACCATGCTGCTGGAGTTTGCCGCTCTCAGCCGCCTCACAGGGGACTCCGTGTTTGAGGTTACCTTGCGAATGCTTTTACACGTGACTGTCGTACGGTTAAAGAGCACCAGACGTGCAAGAAAAATAAGTATGAAACGCACGATTCTCAATGTTATATGTGAGCGGACGTCAGCCCACGTAGCCACAGAGCCATGCGGCAGCCTCCTCATCCAGCACGTGCAGGGCAACCAGTCCGCCCGGCACGCCTTGACGCACTTCACCGGTGGAGACGATGTGCACCACGGTCTCCTGCTCCCCCGCATGCACGTAGCGGGTTGTCACGTAGTACGCCCATCATTTCCATTTAATAAGAGGTTCTAAAAATTTAAATGGAGAGTGAGAATTACAGAAAACAATGGGAATGCAATTCTGCAATTTGAGGTACTGCAAAGCATTTATGAATAACCTTGTGCTGTGGATAGATTCATGTAGGTTGAATAAAACAGCAGTATTTTTTGGGATGGAGTAGATGAACAAATTGGAGTAGTTGAGATAACAGACAATTAAAATCCATGAAGGGTTGCTCTTCCGTCCTATGTGATGTGTGTACTTAAACTATCTGTAATCTTGTGTGTCGCTATCGCTGTTTATAATTCGTGTATATTCGTCAGCATGTGTGTGTTTTTTGCTTTATAGCTCTACCAGTGTGCTTCCCGCTTTTTAAAGTACCTCCTTTAAAGTTGTATGGACAAGGGAATCTTGTTTGTATGGCACTGGAACATTCTAACGTTCAATGGCCGACTTGGTCAGGACACTGCAATGCTTCTTTCCTGAAAGGTGATGGCATTAAAACCCAGTGCACTAACAGGATAGTAAAAAAAGAAATTGTGCATCGCTGTGCTGTACGAGTGAAATGACATTCCCCATCGCTGTGCGTTGTGCAGGATCATGCACGCAGGGCCATGGATTTTCTGTGGGACAAGAGGCAGAGAGGCAGCAACCTGGTGGGCACAGTCATCAACATCCACACGGGTGACTGGGTGCGGCGAGGTGAGTTAATGGTGCCGCAATTTGATTTAGCGAATGCTTTTACATGTGGCTTTCACACGGTTAGAGCACCAGACACACGAGAGAAAACAGGTCCCTGCAGGGTGGGCTGGTAGGAACATTGGAATTTTGCGCAATTTTATTTTTACACCCCGACAGCACGAGATTTCACTTCGTTAAAGTATTGAAAGGGGACGGACGGACGGACAGACGGACAGACGGACGGACGCATTAATCTATTGCAGGCTGGTACACTCAGTTTACAACTTCGTTCCTACCAGTATAAAGTGTTCATTATATATATGGCAATGCTTTGTGAGTGGAAGTCAGCCCACGTAGCCACAGAGCCATGTGACAGCCTCCTCCTCCAGCACATGCAGGGTAACCAAGTCCGCCCGGTATGCCCTGACGCACTTCACAGGTGGAGACGATGTGCCCCACGGTCTCCTGCTCCTCCGCATTCACACAGTGGGCTGTCACGTAGTTCGCGCCATCGATGTTCGGAAGCGGCACACACGCTGCCCTTGTCACACCGGAAGCGGTTCAACTGAACCCACCGGCGTCTTGGGAGGTCGTGGTGCAATGCTAGTGACGCTCATTTTGTTGTGGTGCCGGTCAGGGCGTCATCGTCATCATCAGCCATGGTCAATCCACCGCTGGATGAAGGCCTCCCCAGGCAGTCGCCACCTCTCTCGATCCTGCGTTGCAACAATCCACCCAGCAGCTGCACACTATAACAGACTTGGTGGAGCATGCTTTAATCCAGCATTTGTGGAGGCCGTGTTTATCGGTCATGAAATATTAATTTTCTGGGAGTCTCCCAGCCTTTATGGATCTGATATAGCCAATTGGGGGCAGTGCAGAAAGCACGTTGCTGATCTATCTATGAATGTTGGAGATTTCTCATGTGTCTGCTTTCCCTTGGTATTCATGTTTTTCTTCACACGGAACTTTATTGAATGGACTGAACATCCCAGTGGAATTTATGCCACTGGCCGAGGGCTTCTTGACTCATCTTGACTTATTTGCACGTGTAAAAATACAAATAAAGACCACATTTGTAGCAGGAACGTCAAACTCTGTCACCATACGTGACATTCTATAGTTCAAGTAAACATTCACCCCAAAGCACGCCATCTCCCCTTGTGATGCCCTAGGCTACAAATGGAACAAATGAGAATGAGAAACCACTCCAGTTCCTCTTCCTTGAATTGTTCCTCTGGTGTGTGCTCTTCAGAAAACTGTACTTTAGAGTGCTGCATTCTTTTTTAGAAACAATTAGTGCACAGTACCACTTTCCAAGTGTTAACAATAATGGTTTTGTCTTGCTATACCTCACGTGGTATCTTGGGTGTGATTCCCAGCCGACTCTAACGTTAATCAAGGACAATTTTTTTCTGAACTGTCCCAAGTCAACTCAGCCCTTGAACGAGTTACCAATGTGTGGCGGTGTGTAAACATTCGCACAGGAGAGACGAACGGCGGTGGGTTGTCCCGATGCTGGCCACGCCACCCTTTCCGCACCACTGGCCCCAGCTGTCTGTGTGGCTATTGAGAGGGGGGGCTGTGGTTCTTTGCCTGTCTTGTTTGTGTTTGGTGCAGACAGTGGCGTAGGAGCGGGCATTGACTCGTACTACGAGTACCTGTTCAAGGCTTACATCTTACTGGGTGATGACACCTTCCTGGAACGATTCAACATTGTAAGTGGTGCATTTCACAGGGGTAAAGCAGGTTTCTTTAATTTGGCTTTGTTCACGTGGCCCTGAGATCCAGCCTCCTGCGCTTAAACTAAACTTTGTTTTATTTTTACCATGTAAGGCCCACAGAGCTTTCTAGCTCTTTTTCAGAAGTTACCTGGCCACAAATGATAGCTCAACGAAGTGCTTATCATGATGTGGAAATTTACAGCAGCCAAATACTCTAAACGCATGTTTCAAAATGTGGAGGGAAAACTGGAGGACCCGGAGAAAAATCCACGCGGCCATTGGGAGAACACGCAAACTCCAAATATACAGGCATCAGAGTCGGGATCAAACCCACTGCAGCGCAACTGGGATAAACATAAAATATGTTGTTCCTTCCAGAAGCGCTGTTTTTAAAATGTAATTATGCAAAGGGTTTTAAAATGCTTGCAGGCTTGACCCAACGTGGGATGGATCGTAGGTATGTGCAGTCAACCCTTATTTTGTGTACGCATGAGTGATTGGAATAGACGCATTAACGAATTGCACGTAATTCGTTGGGCCCACAAGTCATGAAGATTAACGCCTCATATGGTCTAATACGTGTGCATTGTTAACTGGTGCGTGCAGCACAGATAGTGTAATGAGTATAATGGGGCAACATTATTACTGAGCATGGTAGTCCTTTAATAAACTTAGCTTTGCACTGAGGCCTCAATTTTTTAAGGTTGTATCAATCTATTTGAAATTTTATTAAAATGTCAACATTCATAAAAGTATTTTGCTTTAGTTTTATTTTACGTGCTTCTCTTTCAATCCCAAAACCTTATTATTCTTTGTTTTTTCCTCAGTCTCCTTATCACTAGAGGCATTGTTTCCCTAGGTTCTCACCCGTCAAAAAAAGTTGCAATTGTCTGAGTAATCACCAACATTTCAGAGCCTCACATGAACCTTGTAAGAAGAGACTTGTTGCAATGTCTATCCTGTTTTTTTCAGCTGTATCACACTGACCCCTTCTGAGCCTTGTGCAACTGCTACTGTAATGAGATACCGGATAATAATTGCGGCAACAGCTTTATGTTAATCTTCAATGTTTTATGGTTTCTGTATCAGTATGTGACAAGTTTGGGTCCGATTGCTCACGCCAATTAACAGCACAATGTGACTGAGGGCTGGGAAACGAGAGTCGCGGTTTAAATTTTCTGTTCATTTTACAGTGCAGGCAATGCATTTTTTAACACGATTTTTATTGGACATTGAGCGACCTGTGCTTGACTTGTGCCCTGAATGCCTCCAGCACTACGAAGCCATCATGAAGTACATCAGCCAGCCGCCACTCCTTCTAGATGTCCATATGCACAAGCCGACGCTGAATGCCAAGACGTGGATGGACGCCCTACTCGCGTTCTTCCCTGGTCTGCAGGTGAGACTGGACACTTTGCTGAGCATATGATTTGAGAGTCCTTTATCTAAATGCTGCTCCTTGTCTCGTGAATTATGTCATTGTCAAGGTGAATGCGTCTCCTTGCTTAACCGAGCATGGGGTGGAGGTTGTCTTTGTCAGTAGCTCTGAGCCAGTGGGGGAAATGTCCTATGGCTGGAGCCAGTCTCCGCATGACAACCAATGTTGATTTCCCTCAGTGGTGCTCGTAATATTGATCCAAGAATCATCATTATGAATGAATTCATTATGTATGTATGTTGAACTTCTTTCGCACCGTACGTGGTCAACCTTCAAATATTGCTTTCTCTATTTGTATGCATACAATATCAGCACTAAGTCAAAGTGAAAAAAAATCCTTATTATGCATTTCGTTTTTTTGTGCTGTCGCCCGTGCCTCGGATAATACCCTCAACTTGTTACATTTGAGACCTTTACAGCCTTGGTTTTTGACACATGCTCTCAGTAGAATTGGCTCAGTTCCCTGACACTGATATAACACTATCTGCCTTTGACAGTGATCTACTAAGCAGAAGCGCATTCCTGATACAGTCCTCTCGCACTTATTTGCTCTCTTGGGCCTGTGTGTATTCAGGTGCTCAAAGGGGACATCAGGCCGGCCATCGAGACCCATGAGATGCTGTACCAGGTGACACGGCGACACAACTTCCTCCCGGAGGTGCGGACATAAATATAACCTACTCCCTCCCCTACTGCGGTTTAGATGCCACGTGGCAGCTCCGACGTGATTGCGCTATTGCAGGTGCCAGTCTCTTTGTTGCATTTGCGCGTGTCATCCTTTTACGAATGCGTAAACACTTCAGGTGATGTCGGTGAATGTGTTGTGCTGAGCTTGAGGGAGCCAATGAAGCTCAGTGGCGATTATTATAATCTTTATTTAGACTGGAGGAATCCGATGAGCTATGAAGCTGTTTTCTAGTAGGACATCACTATAGCAAAGAATACCAGGCGTTTATTATTTAGTCAGCTTGCGGTATTTCACATTGCATGCCTTGGCCATATCCCGAATGTACATACATTTTAATGTATTGACAAATTAGTTTAGCATTTACCCATGTTTGAAAATTTAATGTTAATTCTCTGTTATACGCTTGAACAATTTCTCTTTATTCAACTAAATGAAATAAATCTGTTTTTCTGAATACACCTTTATGATTTTGCAGTTTATTTTTTAGGCATACTGTAAACGTGAGGTTCCCTAAAAATCTGTTAATGATGATGGTGCATACGAAATCACCTTTACAAGGGACCGTGAAGAAAATGTTTCCCACATTGCATTGGGAGTGGGCGCGACTGTTAAGTACATTCACGTTCTGGTCTCAGGAGCAAAGGCACGACTGCAGGACTTGTTGTTTGTGTCCCGACACAGGCCTTCACCACCGACTTCCGCGTTCACTGGGGCCAGCACCCACTGAGGCCGGAGTTTGCCGAGAGCACTTACTTCCTGTTCAAGGTGGGAGAGAGCGTGATCATAACCGTGGGGTTTTACAGAAATGTACCCTGACCCTTTTTCGTTTCAGTTGGGTACCAACTACAAAAAATGTGGACGTTTAATATTTAGCTACGGTGAAGTTTATTATGCAGTTTAAGTTAAAATTTAGCTTACGCTTTTTAGCAGTGTGAGGTGGTGCGGTGGTGCAGTGTTTAGCGCACTGGGCTATGAACCCGACGAACTGAGTTTGATTCTCAGCCACAGCTAACTTGAGTGTCGAGTGATGTCTGAATGGATCCTGGGTACCCCCCTTTCATCAACCCCCACCGACCATTGTGGTGAAATATGGTTAAACAACCCATTGGCCCGACAGCACGGGGAAGGCAATCATCCAGCACTGGATTGACAAAGGGTTGAATTTGTTTAAATGAATCAGTCATGTAACGATGCACTGATTAATTGATTCATATCTATTATAATGCTCACCACACATGCCATGCATCGTGCGTGTGAAAATTGATATATATTTTTGTATGTAATAGGGTCACTTGACCCCTGAAGACTCTTTAAGAGGTGCTACGTTCACCACAATGTAAAACAAAATGTTTTGGAATAGAATTGTGACCCCCCTGCCTATTACAAGTAGATGCATTGTTAAATGTGTCATCGCCCAGTATATATCCACTGCTGGATAAAAGACAACCCATTCCATTCCCACCTTTCACAGTCCTGCAATAGTACAGTCCATATCACTCCAACACATGATGGTAGCTGATTTATTATTTTATTATTGATAATGATCCACTGCAGCACATTGAGTATTTACATAATATTGCAGTTGATGCAGCTCAGTTGGTAGAACAGTGGGCCTCAGGAATGAGATTATAACTTCAAATCCAGGCCAAGCTTGACTGGTATTATCACTATGGGGTTGATATAATGAGCTGTACCTGGTCAGTCTGAAAGTTCATATTTCCATTGCAGGGGTCAGTCTCTTGATGTGACAACCAATGTTATCTTTAAACAAATTGGTACTCATTTTATCAGTTCCCAAACGATGATGGGCTGAGACAACCCAAGACCAAGATTTGAACTTATAACCATCTGATTGAGACAGACATACTAAACACAGCACCACCTGGTCAAATACAACAATGATAATATTATTAGAGTTATCCTTGTCTATAAATATAATCATAATGTTGTCACCATATCAGGTCATGCTAACTTTCAATATATATTGTTTATGTGTAGGCAACAGGTGATCCCTATTACCTGGAAGTTGGCAAGTCCATCGTGGAGAACTTGAACAAGCTAGCACGCGTGCCGTGTGGATTTGCCGCGATGAAGGACGTCCGGACCAGTAGCCATGAGGACCGGTGAATAAATAACGTCACATTCGTTTATTCATCAGTGTGTACTTGATCTTGATAACGATGTACGAGAACCTCGTTTAGAAACGGGTCTTGTTGAGATGGTAATTGAGTTTTAAGCTAGAAAAGTATAGTCACTGACATAACGTACGGCAAAGCTGTACAAATTGAGATTAAGAGATGTGGCTTTATAGTTAAACCGTTTAACGAACGGTCTGTCAGAGAGGCGTGTGGATATTAATCAAATGCTTATGACATAGTGATCATTTAAAAATGTAACAAGAACACTTTTTTTTCTAAAAGGACACCTTTTACCCCTATAATATAAACGTCATTTAGGCAGTTTTAGAAATGCGAGTGTGTTAAACGGTTATTGTCGTCAGACGCCTATAATCCATAGACTTTGTGGTGACGGTGGATTAAACTGAGAGGGTTTGTGCGAGATGGCCACTTTGAGGACAGTGAGACGCGCCCGTAAGGAAAGCAGTACAGAAAGTAAAGGGGTGCTGCTGCCCCGTTGTAATGGGTTGGCACAGACTCTCACGTTCTTTGATTCCATCTGCCGGCACTGCAGTTGAAACAATGGTGCAAGTTTCTTAAATTCCCCCCCCCACCCCCCCGCGTCTGTCCACCCAGAAATATAAATGGGTGTGCACCACAGTTAATTTTTAACGGCAGCTTGCTTGTAGTTGGATAAAGTGTGGGCACCTTCTCCGTGAAGTCTGGCCAGCATGGAAGAGTAGGCCAAATACTCTCTAGAGGGGCATCTCTTGAGCTCTCTTTCGTGGAGTTCCTTTCTGCCGCCAGTGGCATGAGGAAGTGATTCCATTGTTGCACCTTTATCTTTTCAGATAAACTTTGCTGCTCACATATCCGTGTGAAGCTTGAGTTATCCGGTTGTATGCATTGGGTTTTCATGGCACTTCATTTTCCGCGCGCACAAAATGCGTGAAGAGCAATTGGCACAACATCCCAAGCGCACTGGTTGCTCCAGGAAAACGAGGCTTTTGTGCACATCATTAACTGTAGCACACATTGTAGTGGTACCCAGATGTCAATGATCAAGATCGAAGAGCATATGGTGGGATAATGACAGCAAGACTTTGGAGTTTGTGTATAGACTACATCAGTTAGGTCTACCAAAAGGGAAGGGGTTATGGCAAGCTGTGGTGGCATAAACAACCTTGATTGGGATGACACCATGACCGTACCTACTTTTAATATTTAAATCTCTCTCAATGTTTGCTTTTGCTGCGCGATCCCCACAGTATGGACTCGTTTTTCCTGGCCGAGATGTTCAAGTACTTGTACCTGCTGTTTGCGGAGAAAGAAGACCTGGTGTTTGACATCGAGGCCTACGTGTTCACCACAGAGGCTCACCTGCTACCCCTCTCACTGTCCGTCAGCAACGCCAACAACAGCCGCAACAGCACGGTGAGGCCCCGGTTAGTCTTATAGCTTCCCCAGCTATTACGCCTACAATGTGAATTTACATAGTGGCTTCAGATGGATAATGGGCCAGCATCTCAGGCTGGATTATTTGTAACACGTTTATTATGGTTGGTCAGGTATTCTTTCTTGGATAAAGAATGTTTTATTATATCTGACTTAATGGGACTATTTGCAACACACACTTTGCTATTCAAAGGCTACAAATAAAAATGCTGATCATTGGTTGGCTCACCACAGCATTTCTGTGTGGTAATAGCTGTGGGAAAATTCACTGTCCATATGGAATTGTAGATTTTTCCATCACCGGCACAGGGCCGCCAACAGAGATTTTCTGCACCCCATAATTTATTCGAGCATTGACCCGCTTTAGACTTTTGTTAGAATCTTATTTGTTGACAGCCTCGCCGTCGCCTGACACTCTTACCGCCCCCGGAATCTCCCTCTGCAGGGCAATGCGTTCGCCAATTCGGACGATGGAAGCTCCGACTGGGCTTGCCCCAACTCGCAGGTGCTCTTCCCAAATGACCCCACCTTTGCCCAGACGCTCCGCGAGCCGTTCAAGAACGTCGTGGATGAAGTTTGCCCAAAGCCAAAGCAGCAACAGTAAGGACCGTCATCCCCTCTCTCTGTGGTTACAACACGAAATATTGCCCAGTTTTGGAAAGTTTCCTGGGGAGATTGAGACATTTTATTCGGGAACTTCACTATGCTCAGCTACAAAGTTGCACTTAATCGGTCCATGGTGATGAACAGACTCGTGTCATTAGCATAAGTGGATTGACAGAGGGTTCTAGATACGATATTTTGATCATTTGCTAAGGGGTTAATTATCACTCGGCATGACTCAATTTTCTGATTGTCTGATTGAAATACCACAGTCTCTATTATAATTTTTGAAATGCAAATACTGTATTGTGTAGTCAAATCGAAAATATTGTCAATGAGTGAGTGACAGCGCTCATCTATGTTAGTTGAGCTGAACTAGGATTGTAGATTTCACATTCCTGTGGTAGGGACAGGTCTCCCAACAGTTGAACTACTCTTATATAGCATTTTATCACTATCGTGATTTTCTAATGCAGGATAACTCAAATTGCAATAGATGCCCTTATAAAGCACACCATTAAACAGCAACCCATCATACATTTTAACAAGGAACCCAGGATGATTATTTGAGGCATTGTTAGCACATTTAAACCTCTTAAAGCCAGACTAATTGGGGAGATGGCTTCCCAGTTACGTGTAATGTCTAGCATTCTATAAGTAATGATTGTCTGTACAGTTAAATTATATTCAGATGCGATGAACAACTAACATCTTTAATTTACACTAAATAAGTGTTATCTATTTTTAAAAAAATCTCACGTTATAAAACTAAAAGTACACGATTCTACAGTTTAATCTGAGCCACCATCACTGTGCAGTAGAGGTGAAAGGCTCAGGTTCACTGGCTGTGGAAGGCTTAAGAGCTTGATGGGTTGGAGAGTTTTTTTGTGTCTATCAAATCAGAATCTATCAGAATCTTTATTTGGACTGGAGGAATCTCAAGAGCTATGAAGCTCTTAATCACAAATGTCGAGTATGGGCGGGTCAACGAGTCACAATCTGTAAACGGTGAGCGAAGAGAGAGCCCGAACAAAGCACGTGGACGACCGAGGCGTCCAAGCGAACGGGTTCACCGAATTGCACGTGTGGGGGAGTCCACAAGAGTGGAGATAAGTGTATTTTGTAGCTTTAGACCGCTGGTGTACAAAACATGTGTCAATTGTAATTGTTACAATTGTTGGGGATAGTATCATGCATTTCCTAGTGGTGATAAGTTCATTTAGAATTTCCTATATAGGGTTAGCATAGAGCTTTATGAATGGATGCCATTAGATTGAATTCAAAAACCTTGTCTGACCACATACATCTTAAATAGTTTGAAAGTGGTGCATTCGTTGGAGTTTTTTTTTTCCTTTTGAGTAAGCTGGAATTCTTACCGTGCATTCCAGCTTACTCAAGTCCAAATCAGGAGGTCTTACTGCAATGTGAACATTTCAAATAGACTATAAGAGAAAGAGGTTACATGGATGATGAGCTGAAGGGGGATAAGGAGCAGATTGGTAAGAGGTTTAAGACTGTTGCGGTGGCTTGGCTACAAGGTGCCGCCTCCAAAACAGGTAATGCATCGAACGTGTCAGCCCCTAAATTAACCTTGCACCGTGGGTCACATTGTCGTACGACGCTTGGCAAGTTCCCTGCCCGGGGGCGCTTGGTACGGGCCATGACACATCCGCACCGCTGCCTGGACCCTCCGCGAGCCATGCCCGAGCAGGGCACACGCGCCAGGTAGCGAGGCGATGCTCTGCTCAAGTTGCCCGTACCCGTAGCCCCACAGGGAAGTCATTGCAAGTGTTTGTTTTGTCGTCGTCATCATCATCATCGGCTGGCAACCTTTCCCTATTGCTGCATCAGATCGGTCACCATTAGATATACAGCGGGATTAAGCACACCGCGGTGTTCAATTCTCAGCCATGGTTAACGTGAATGGTGAGTGATATCTTGACCGGGTGCTGCCCCCAATCTGCTTCGTCATCCTGCTCTAACTAGCTTTGTTAAGTATGGTCACACAACTCCCACGACCTACGTGGTGTGCGGAGACATTTATGCAGCAGTGGATTGACAAAGGGCTGTAAAATTATTATAATTTCCCTACAATCGTCGTGCTTCTCTGGCTTATTAATCTCTCTAGCATTTCATCTTTGCTTTAGGTTCTTCTCCACTCGCATTTTCCATATTTCCCTTTGGCCTATTCTGGGTCTCATTAACTTATTTTGTTAATGTGTGTTTTGTTGTAGAGGAGAACCACCTCGTTGATCAGGGCTAATTCAGTGTAGCTATCTTGTGACAATCCACTCGGGCCATTTATTCGGTTACTGCCATATTTGTCCGACTGTGGGAGGTCGTCGGTCTGAGCGGTGGTCGTGTGGCGCAGGGATTCTCCGTCCCTGCCGGCAGCCAGCCCTGGGACTGAACCTCCTCTCCGGGCGCGAGACTTCCTGGCCACCAACCAGGAGCACGTGGACCTCCTCAAGAAGATGGGCATCAACATCATTCAGCTGCCGGACGGGAGGGTGCAGCTCGTGCATCACGCTTCTCAGGTTGGGTTGTGCGCTCTGCGGGGCTCGGGGAGCCCGGGGTCCTTCAGTCATCTTCAACAAAGCTCGCTTGTTTAGCATGCAGGCTTGCACCCCGCTTACGTCAAACAGTCGGTCGGTCAGATCGACGTTTTGACAAACCTGATGAAACACATCGGCCTCGACGATTTGTCCAATTGTTGGTAATAGAGAAGAAGCTGTGTTTCGCCAAAAATCTGACGCAAAGGAACGACTTGTAACAGTCGAATTGGGCTCCAAGTATGTCCGTGCTCAAATGAGAAGTTGGCCGTTACTCATCATTGGTGATGTCAAGTCCGTGATGTAAATTCCAAATTATTGTGGCAGAGCCCTCTCTCTCTCCCAGAGAATGATGACTGGTGACTTCTCACAATGGTACTAATTTAAATGTTCCTCCCATTTAGTAACAGTGTTATATGTATGTTATGTATATTTAAAGATTATTTATTACGTAGAAAACAGGATCCTGTGCCAATCAGTAGGTTTATAAACACTATACAGGTGTATGTATTCAACGCTTCTCAATGTGTTGCGGCAGACTTGGATTTATTGTAGAAATCCTATATGCCTCTAAAACAGTCTTGTCAAAGGTCCAATTTTTTGCTCTGTGAGAATACCTTTTTGTATACTTTAAGTTTCTATACATCATGTATGAACTCGTACGTATTTCTGTATACCGTAGTGTGTTGATTTGATTGTGACCTTCGGGATTGGAATGCGTTGAGTAATAATAAACGAACGAATGCGCGTCGTCTGTGCTCAATCTACAGGCCGCAAACTCGCGGGACGCGGCGGACGGCCTCCGCTTCATGCAGGAGATGATGGACCTGTCCAACCAGCAGAAGGAGGACCTGCCGCCCCGCGTCGTGCAGATCATGTCTCCCCCGTTCCTCGGGCGGATGGTTTTGACTGCTGGGCCTGCGCAGTTCGGAGTGGACCTTGCCATTGTGGAAAAAGGGGTGAGCGGCATGACCTTTGTTCTTGCTTTTTTGTTTGCTTTGCCGACCGGCTTATATTGTTCTGACTTTTGGAATGTGTGTACACTGAACCGAGCATCATCGGAGTTCATATATATATCGTCATCGTAATAATTTTCATTATTAGTTATATATTTTGATATGTATATGCAGTAATCCAGATGAGCGGTGCTGTGGTCTGAGTACTGGACTCACAATTTGAAGTCCTTGTTATAAGTTAACTTGGCCCATCATCTTGTCCTGGTTAAGAAAATGGATACCACTTTTTGGAAAATCAACGAATAGTGTTTATCATGTAAAGAGACTGGCCCATCATAGGAATGTGATATTACTACCAGGGCCTTCAATGCAGATGAGATGAGTTTGCTTCTGAAGTCAACTCGTGAGCTATGCCACTCCAAACTAAACTAGTACCGCTTTCCACACAAAACCTTGGCTTTTTATTAGGAAGCCACTGGAGATATGCACTTTTAAATTGAAAATTAATTTCTGTAGAACCTGCTTTCTATGTTTAGTTTGTTTTCCTTCCCCCGCACCTCTGATAAGCACGGTTGGCGCCATACGGTGCGAAAGAATTTCAAAATACATACAACACATTACCTTCATGCTCTTTGAGTTCCTTCACAAAGTCATCGGGACAATAATCCTTAAACCCTAGCGAACTTTACATCTCACACTCTCCCGCCTCTCCCGTTGCTCCCTCGCGACGCGCGCTCCTCCATCACAAGGTGCAAGCACTGGTGGCAGTGGGGGAGCCCTTAAGCGGGTGCTCGGAGTTGGTGAACGGCGACGCTGTCGTAGGAAAGATCGCGCTGCTGCAGCGGGGCCAGTGCATGTTCGCGGAGAAGGCGCGCAACGTGCAGCTCGCGGGCGGCGTCGGAACCATTATCATTGGTGAGTCGCAGCCACGTTCGCCAACTGTTCGCTCGTGCGCCTCCGATGGGCACGGCTGGCTTCGTACGGTGTGAAATAAGTTAAATGTACTACAGTGACGTTTCGCTAATCAGCATGACCGCGATCAGTCGATCGTGATTTTAGAATCCAGTTTGAAATGTTCTCTGCCTTACCAAAGACGATGCACCGTTTTATGTCTCTTGGCTTATTTGGCCGAGTGCCACTGCAATAACAGAACGAAAATATCACAACGTGATGTGACAACGTCCATCCGTGGGAATGGCTTTGTGGCAATATTTCTCACATTTGAGGTCACACTTGTGAGACGTTCACGTTTAAAGCAGGAAGGTAGTATAGCAAGTAGGTGGTTGAGTGTTACCCCCTCTTGTGCATAAGTTTCCTCTGGGCAATTGCAGTTTTATTCACACACGGCAGTATTTAAAACATAATTAGCCGAACATCTTGAGCAATACCTCTTGTATAAGAATCTTGAGGCTCATTGAGGCATTTCTGGGCAAATAAGTACGGTATTATTCTTGACTGTTATAAGATAGGTGGCTGAGACTCGAGTAACATTTGTGTCACTGTATGGGTGAAAAAGCTGGATTTAACAAAGTAACCAAGAAAGAGGCTCCTGGCCCTTGCATTCTGAGCATCCTAAGAATGTCATGGCAACTCTGAAGGTCAGAATAGAGCTTGACAGGACATCGCTGTACATGTGAGTATGAAGAGTTGATTGCAATGTGTGGGTCACGGTGCTGAGATGTGAGCTCCCTCACCTGCTATGCAGGAGGTCGTTGGTTCGATCGTGTCCCTGATGCCTGTATATTTGGAATTTGCGTGGTCTTTCTCCCCACGGTGTCACGTGGATTTTTCTCCAGGTCCTCCGGTTTTTCCCTCCAAATTTAGAAAATTGTGTTTGTGAGAGCATTTGGCTGCTATACATTTCCATATGATAAGCCACTTCGCTGAGCTATCATTTATGGCCAGGTCGCTTCTGAAAAAGAGCTCTCTAGCTCAGTGGGCCTTACCTGGTTAAATACAAATAGGTAATTTCTGACCGAATTCGCGAGCACAAATCAGATTTGAAACACGGCAGAACAAATTCTTCGGCCGTGGCTGATCATTGTCTCAACACAGCGGGTTCTCATGACATTGTTTTCTCCGATACCAAAGTACTATGCAAACCTCCCGGTTATTACCAAAGATTTGCCCATGAGGCCATCCAGATATACAAACATAGACACAAATTCAACCGAGAGGATGGTTTTAAATTAAGCAACCACTGGAAAGATGTCATAAACCAAGTTAAAACTTCAGCTACCTTATAAGTGCACAGCCTTTTTTTTTTAACCATTTTTCATTGCCCCCGTGCAGTGAACCACCGCTTCCCCCGAACCCTCAACATAACAAAAGACGGATTAACTTAGCCTCGTCGTGGCTCCTCGCTTGGCTCCTCCCCCCCACCTTAACCATAGCCCCGCAACGCCGTCGTGGCTCCTTGCTTGGCTCCTCCCCCCACCTTAACCTTAGCCCCGCACGCCGTCGTGGCTCCTTGCTTGGCTCCTCCCCCCCCACCTTAATCTTAGCCCCGCACCCCATCAATGTCCCCTGCTTGGCTCCTCCCCCCCACCTTAACCTTAGCCCCGCACCCCATCAATGTCCCCTGCTTGGCTCCTCCCCCCCACCTTAACCTGTATATAAGCTCGAGGGTCTCAGAGCTCACCACTTGATGCAGCTACCTTGCTGTGACTGTTCCACCTGAAGACGGAAGCTTGTGTTGCCTCCGAAACGTCGTGATTTGATTTAGTTGTTTTCTTTTATTTAGATTTTGTTTTATCTACGTGACTTTACCGAAAAAACCAAAGCGTATGAATCCTTGCAGTCACGAAAGCTTCAAATCTAGAACAAATAGGTAAATTAAGTAGATACATGTGAAGATGACGGAGGGCACGTCACTAAGATAAGCACCTAATGATGAAACCTAAATCAGACACAGCCTTGAAAAGTTAATTCTTATGCTCATGATATGTCAACTCAGTATTAAATCCTGTCTTTGAGAATCATATACTCCGATTATCACAGTTGGCTACGTACGGTGCGAAAGAAGTTCTACATAATACTCTTTTTGCAAATTATAGGTATGTTTTACCTGTAGGCGAATACAATGAACTAAGCAACGAGACTAACATTACAAGTGATGGTACTAATGAGACAAATAAATATGATTTAATATAATCATTACATTCATTGCATTGTGGTGGGCGGGTGAATTGTTAAATGTCTAGTAAAAGCAGACCTAAGTCTCGTGTTGACCGTGTGACAGTTCCATGGTCTGGTGGACAAAAATGAAACAACTATTAATTTTCACATTGTCAACAATACTGACCATGATCTCTTGACCTTGTCCGATCAATTCCACGCCATTGCTGCTGCTGCTAACCCTGACCCGTAATCTCTCACCCCTGCCCCACACAGATGACACAGAGGGCAGCAGCAGCGACACGGCACCGTTCTTCCAGATGGCGGGTGACGGCAAGAGCACGGACGATGTGGGCGTTCCTCTGCTCTTCCTCTTCCACAAGGAGGGACGCATCCTGCTTGAGGCCCTGGCCCGGGGCCCCCTCGAGGTTCTCTTGGCAAGCCGTGCCCAGCCTCTCGGTGAGAATGCGCACCACCCACCCACCAACCCACCAACCCACTCACGAAATATGAAACTTTCCTTTGACTTTTGACTGTGTCATGTGAAAGTGGCTGCCATGCATGCATTCCTTGCAGGTGGCAGCAAGGAAAATCAGCAAGGGGAAAGTGCCGAGCAGTCCGGAGAGATTTTGGCGCAGTGTGAAAACCACCAACTCTCGCGAACTCTGGACCTTGCCCATGCGGCCAATGCAGCGGCCAACCCCAGCGATGATGGTGCGCGGTCTGGCCAGCAAGATCAGGAATTACCCGCAGAGGACGCAGGGAGGCCCAGGAGAGAGTCCGAGGAAGGCGATGGTGAAAATGACTCTTCTGTGATAACCTGTGACGAGAGGCACGCGGCTTGTGATACCGACACAGATGGCGATGGCACAAACGAAGGAGTAGGTGGTGGCGGTGGTGGCAGCTGTGACGGTGGAGATTGTGGCGGTGATCGTGGTGATGCTGACGGTTCGGCAGAAGAGGTTGATAGGATAGAATCATCGAGTGAGGAGCTGGACTCAGACTCTGAGAAAGATCCCACCGAGAATTCAAGCGATTCCGTGGGCAGTGACTGGACAGAGGAGTTAGAAGCTTTCGCGGAGTATGCAAGAGACGAATTATGACACCCGCAAGGAACGTCGCGGTTTGCACAGGACCTTGTTTCCTATAATACTTACAACTGTTCCAAATAATGGTTTACCATTGTATCTCAGGGCTGTCTTAGGATTTAAGGCTGGATGCAATGTTGCCACTGATTGGTGGTAGAGGAAAAAAAAAATAGAGGAGATATTTTCTTTCTCATCGGTGGTGACTTTGTAAGTATTATCTTCCAATCCGAATTAAGAGGTAACCGCGTGATTTCCCCCCCCCCACCCCGAAAGCATTGTGTATAATATTGTACAGTGCTCTTTGTAGCATCGCAAATGTGATAAAATAAAACGTGTAAATAGAGTTTTTTGTTCCAGATGAAAGATGCATTGAAAAGTTAAATTTTTAAGTAATGAGATTTGATTTCAAATGCATTCTCAGCAATTTTGTCTCATTTACATTGGAATGATTCTGTGCCTTTAAACACCTGTCGTATGTATGCGAGTGCTGCACACGTGCGTTTGTGCCTCGCGGTGTTGTGTTGTCACACAGGTACTGTGCGGTTCATGAGCGAGCAACGTGATGCGGTGGAGACACGTGTACGTGCGTTCGCTTTGTATTGAGCTCAATGAACTCCTTGCTGTGCCATGCCAATATGAATGCACGGAAATGCTGTTGGGATGTGACGAAACGCCTCCATTGTCAGTGGTGACCGGATGGCCTAATGGTCAGTGTATGCTTCTCACACTGAGCCAGCTTGCAAGGTGTCTAATGTTGCTTGTGAAAGGATCACTCCACAAACAAGCATTGTGGTGGCACTTATGCCAACAGATGGCCCTCAGCCAGCAGTGATAATTTCAACTATTACTAAATTATTAAAACAACTATTTTTATTTTACCAGGTAAGGCCCACTGAGTTGTACTTTATTAGATAAAGCACACTGAGATATTTAGCTATTTTTCAGAAGCCACAAATGGCTTATCATCACATGGAAATGTATAGCAGCCAAACTCTAAACACATGTTTGTAAATGTGGAGGGAACAACCGCAGGACATGGAGAAAAATCCACGTGACCACGGGGAGAGAACGCGCAAACTCTAAATATACAGGCGTTGAGGTCAATCAAACCCACAACCTGCATACCAGGCGCGGCAGGTAACATCTCGCCACTTTGACGCATAATTTCATATTCTTATGGCAGAGGCCAGTCCTTCCATACAACAACCAATGTTAACTGAATCGACCTTGTAGAGATGATGACCTAAGTTCACTCTTGATAGGGATGCAGCTAGCAACCCAGCAATTTCTTCAGAGTGATGAGAGGACTCTGTCTAATATGTACGATGAAGACCCGATCACATTTCTAATGGCTCACCAGTCAATGCTGTCATGGTCCAATTCCCATGGTGCAGATGACTAATATTACTCGTTTCACGTGTGGGTGTTTGCTACCTGCCACAGATGACCAACCCCACAGCCAAGTTTGCCACCGTGCTTTTAGACTGTACTGTGAATTATGGTCTATATATATATTAATTGAATATATATTTATGAGATTTGATGTCGTATTACTTGGCAAAAGGCATGAAATTAATTGAAATTAAATACTTCACCTGCTGGATTGAAATACACTGAGGAAGTTTATTGATTTTCTTTTTCAGTGTTTCCGTGAATTTATATTGTCTTGGTTCACTGCCAGCTGGGGCCAACAAAGCATACGTTTGTTTCCTCTGGCAGTTAAACAAGTGACTTGGTCCCTTGCATGTGGTTCAGTTCACGTCGTGCAGTGTGTAAGAGGCATTACGTTAACATTACACCGAGAGCTGATTGAGTGTTGTAGTCGGCACTATTAAAATTGGAAAATCACATTTTGGCAGAGAAACGATATGACACTTCGGTGAGTGGTTTGGGACTGACCGCCTAAGTTAAGGTCACTGCCCTCCCAATATTATCGAGTCTTGAATCGAATTTTGAAGCCCGTTTATGAGTCTTGTTTGAGCTCTTGTTACTCTTTTAAGAGCCGAGAGGTCAAAGACGACGCGGGATTTGCAGGTGCTTGCTTTGCTGCTGCTGCTGCTGCCACCAACACTATCATTGAAATACAATATGCAAGTGAACGAGCCTGCATTTGTATTAACCCTTTCCTTATGGCGTCCTTTGGGCTTCACTTTTACACACGTCCGCGAAATAGGAATGTGGATTTACTAAATGCCAGTAGGCACTGCACCGCATTAACTTTTGTAATGACGTTCCTTCTTAAATGATTGTCACAGTTGTGAAATATATTTCTGCGCAGCAACTGTTTTTCTCCATTGTAAAATGTGATGATTGGGTCTATGGAGTCTCAAGTGGGTTTTTATACGCGGAAATCATTACGGAGAGTCACAAAGTTTTCAGTGCAATTTGTATTTCTCTTCAAATTCATGTAACCAATTTAGAACCTTGTTCAAAAGCTTAACTATTTCCTTCAAACCTACAATGCAATACTGATGTCAAAATCAGTAGTCGGGAGGGGAAAACTAATTTTGAGATGCATGATAAAAATGTCAATTCCATAAAGCCAAATTGTACATTCTTTAAAAGAGATGACTGGTGTTTTAATGGACAGGTGTGTGATCAGTGCAACATTTCAAGTAAAAAAATCACTTGTTCAATTCGAAGTTTGAAAACAGCTGCATTGGCATGCGTTCTTATTTACATATGAATGGGGGCCAGGAATCTTAAAAGATGTTCCATGGTGACGCCAGCTTTCGAAGAATGGTGAATGAACGTGTAGATACATTATTTCAAGTCAACGATGTGAGGGTTTTCTGCTTAAAGACGGAGCTTATTTGTTGAATGTTGGAAATGATCCGTCAACCCTAAGTTACGCGGAGCCTGCAAAATTGCACAAAAATTTACCCCAGTTTAAAACTAGTGATTTCAGAGAATTCATAGAGGAGCATTTTTAGGTCTGGGTTATTTTTCGTTAACTTGTGTATACTATGATTAAATTAACTAAAGTATAGCACTTGCCACTATTTGGACCAACTTTTTTAATCGTAGCTAGGGACCAGTGTAAAATGGTTTGAAACAACTCATTAAGGGTTAGGTTTTGTAAGCACTACATTAGCCAGGAATTGACCTTGATCCCATTGCTGTTATCCACACTTCATATAGACTTAGCTTTAAAGTTGCATGTACATTTTAACATGAATTGTTACATATATGTAGAAATTTGCCTGACAGCACTTCTCACACGTATCAATAATTTAAACACATGAGATTTTAACTATTTAAGTATTCTTAATTTAGGAGTATGTGGTGTTGTAAATATGCAGGCTTTACTAAATGCTGACCTTCAACCCCGCCGACCTGTTCATCAACCAGTGTAACGTAATAATACCACATGCAAAATATCTCTAAAATTTGTTCATCCTGGTGTTGTAATTGTATCTGTTACAAATGGCAAACGGACAACTATCGCCAGTGTTTTAATCACAATTAAAAAAATTTACTTTTTTATGCCTATGCTGAAGAATGAAAGCTCACGTTTGCAAGTTTCAAATCACGTTGGTATCCTACATGTTCTATTTTAAATTGGTATGCGTTAAATTTGCTGACCCAACTATGCTGATGCATGTCTTTCTCCATCGTGAATATAAAATCATGATAAATGGAGACTTCCAAGACAAACTGTGTAGGAGGTAAAACGTCTCAATGGTCATGTCTGGCTGTACTCCAGACTCGTCCCAGCCAATCATGAAAGAAGGACGGTTCAGAATCAGAATATTAAATTATAATGGAGGAATCCTATGATCTATAAAGCTCTTTTCCACATGTCCAGTTGGGCCAGAGTAGAACGTTACAACATCGAACAAATACAGTTTTTCCTCGATGTGTTTTTAAAAAAACATGTGTTTATAGTTTGACTTAACTGATAGAATTGTCTGGTTATTCTTTTATCAAATGTCAAAACGTAAAATGATGAAAATGCCAAATATGTTTTTGTGTTTATTAATTTGATGTTTCTGTTATGTAACTACGAGGAATAGCTACGTGTTGCGGAACGTTCAGAGGTGTTAGTGCCATAATTGTTTCTAATTATTTATCAGGTGCATTAATGAACAACTGTTAATACGCACAATTGATACGTGCTTGATAACTCCAGCCTATGCTTAATTAGTAAATCAACAGGGTTGCATGCGGTAATCGGTGTGTGACAGAGGACTCAAGATTCCCTTTTAACATGGTACACCCCTAAATGCCTTTATTGCACATGTTACTAATATGTGGAATGTACCATTTGTGGGGAAGTCTCATCTCCGCCTGTCCATCCGTTGCATGCCCTGTTGGTTTTCCTCCACTTTGGTAAAATAATAACATTAAGCAAGAGTGCAATATATAATATCGTTATTGAACATTTTGTTGCTTATGAATTGCTTTCAATAGTCAGTTTGAGCTACTGGTGACGATAATGAGCTGCATTGTATGGGCTCGCATGCTTGAAAGTCTTGCCGCATCAACTCGGTGTGTTAACACAATGCTGATTTCATTTGAAAAGCACACCGATCCATTGATCTGTATTTTCTACAGATATCAGATCTACTCAACCATTCATGCAGTCAATGCAATGTGATTGTGGTATATTTGTGTAGCAGAAAAAAAGATGTTAATGTGGCTTTTGAGTGATGCTTTGGCTTCTGTATAAGTTGTTTTAAAAATGAAAACAAGAAAATGTGTTTATATTCCATGTATATTTTCTTTGGTTGATTTATCTCCCTTTTAATTGGGAATTATAACAAAGTGTGATATATGGTATTTAAGAGTTTATGTATATGGGTGTCTGCTTTACGTAAACAAAACTTTGTACATGACGTAGCTCAGTGTAATATGCAAGGCCTATCTGTTGTAGGCTTTACATATACTAAGAGTGATAACTTCTCGGATTACCATTGAAGCCCTTCTCTACGGTTTAGCTTGCCAAGGGTACCAAATATTGATTGCTGGAAATGATCGTTATCATAAGCCATACTGCCATAAATCGGTGCTGTGTCGATGCATTCCGTCGCACCCTCATACATCCCGATTACATCTGTTTAAAAAAATGCATATTTACATAACAGACTCCCAAGTCTGTGTATATATGTGTGTGATTGGAAGATGCTGTTCACGGTCCCGTAAGGGGGATGTGACTCATACACATTGCTTATGAAACTTCCTACCTGTTCAGATGAGTGGCTGGATGTAGCCTAAGGTACACAGCCTAAACATTCGTGTAATAACTGGCTAGGTGGCGCTGTGCTTAGCGCGCGCGACTTGTAAACAGAAGGTTGCTACTTCAAATCCTGGTCCGGGGTTGCGGGGTGGGTTAACTCATCCATTGGATTTTAAAATGAGTACTTCTTTGTGGGAAGTCAGCAGTGGTTGTCCTGTGGGATGACTGGTCCCCCCACCAAATAAATGCATCATTGTTCCACAATGCTCACGACCACAGGGTTTGGACACTGCTTGTTAAAATGGGGGCAAAATCATTGCCATTGTTTCCAGTGGCCAGCAAGCTCATCATTGAGCCAGTTTGCATTCACATTGCCGAGTCATGAGTGGGGAATTACCAACATGCCGTGGGAGTTTAAGACTCACAACTTTCAATAGTAGACCATTGTGTGCCCCCATATTGCAGGCAGATATTGGCCGTTGTAAAATTAGAAGCAAAAATATGACAGTAATATGCAACACTTCAAATGAATGAAACTTCTAATAGGGTACATTTTTGTTGCAGCAGTCAATTGATCGAGGTGGAGAGCTGGACCGTTGTGGGAAAAGTAAAGAGCACCTTAGTGCAAGTAGCTGTGTGCCCCACTGTCCATTGCATTTAAAGGGTGATCAATGAATACTGGTGGGAATTGTCTGACTCTGCTGGCAGTTAATGATGCAGCTGCATTTTGCAGTGTGTTATGGACGGGGCTTTTTCTCACATGGACTGGAAACGTAGTTTTATTGCCATATGTGTCTACAATTGCTGGGTTCCATTGCTTCCTTTACCACTTTATTTCGTGGCATATGACCTTCCCGCCTGGGATTGACTGTTTACTGTATTAATAACATACAATTAAAGTGTATTATAGTATATAATATGTACAGCTACTGTTTGTCTGGGATGTATTTTTTTCCCCAATGACTTGCAGCTTTAATAAACAAAAAATTACAACAAAGCATTTCAAAATTGTCATACAATGTGTGCGTGTATTGCTTCATGATGTGTCGAACAGAAAATATAACGTTGCTGTAAAGATTGTATTTAAACTGTAAAAAAACATTTTACCAGGTAAGGCCCACTAAGCTATTAAGCTTTTTTCAGAAGCGAGCTGTCCACAAATGATAGCTCATTGTGTGGCAATGTATAGCAGTCAAATACTCTAAACGCACGTTTCTAAATGTGGAGGGAAAACCCGGAGGACACGGAGAAATAGCCACGCGACCAAATATACAATCGTCAGGATCGGGATCGAACCCATGATCGACTTGTGCTCCACATGGCGAGGTAAATGGGCGCCCACAGTGGCAAGATGTTAACGACCTCGATGACGAAGACACGTAACCGAGTTGAAGCCACCATGATAAAAGGTCACTTATCGTCTCCCACCTCCGAGACACAAATCATCACATCTCCTGGCTTTGGCACGGTGGCGAGATGCTAACTCGCATGGTATACATGAGGTCGTGGGTTCGATCCCGATCCTGACGCCCGTGGTCGCGTGTATTTTTCTCCGAGTTTTCCGATTTTTTTTCTCCATTTAGAAACATGCGTTTAGAGTATTTGATAACCTGCCACTTCGTTGAGCTATCATTTGTGGCCAGGTCGCTTCTGAAAAAGAGCTATATAGCTCAGTGGGCCTTACCTGGTAAAATAAAAAAAATAGTTTAGTTTTAATAGTTTAGTAATAATTTAAATTGTCACTGCTGGCTAAGGACCATTTGTTGGCACAAGTGCCACTACAATGCCTGTTTGTGGAGTGATCCTTTCACAAGCAACATTCGACACCTTCCAAGCTGACTTAGCGTGAGAAGCATACACTGACCATTAGGCCATCCGATCACCACTGACAATGGAGGTGTTTCGACACATTCCAACAGCATGTCCGTGCATTCATATTGGCAGGGCACAGCAAGGAGTTAATTGAGCTCAATACAGAGCGAACGAACGTACACGTGTGTCTCCACCATGCCACGGTGCTCGTGATGTGGTGGAGACTTCGAATACACTGGTGTAACCATCAACCGCACCAGAACGTCAACAGACCGATGCGCGCAACTCCTGCGTAAATGGGAAACCAATGATAAAAGCCACAGTGGTGCGGTTGTGGCCATGCAACCCAAATTATGTACCATAGACCGAACCCAAAGAGACACAGAGATACACAGAGACTCTGAGAGATACATAGCGACTCCCCCCAGAGATACATAGAGATGCATAGAGACTCAGAGACGCGTAGAGATACAAAGACCCATATCGTTACGTGAAAGACAAACCACGGTGTAATTGTGGCCATGCAAACCCAAACTATGAACCACAGTAAACCACTGCAGTCTTCCCTCCTACCAATGGAGGAGGAATAGCAAAAACTACGCAAACTCCCTTTTGTCGTGTGTAGCAGACATCGACATTGCCATGTAACTCCTGAACGTTTTGCCATACACAAATAATATTATTTAACTGTTGTCGCTTTGACGACTCGGCCCACTCTTGCAAGTGAGACTCTGCATTGACCTCTTGAGTCAACTTGAAACTTGCCCTGAACACTGCCAAAAACACGAGTTGTTGACCCCCTTCTGCCATGGCCTTGGGCTCAGTGAGTGATCTCACCTGGCCACTGGAATACGGGGAGGAGGTGCTGGAGGAGAGTGAGGAGGGGGAGTGGGAGGGGGTGTGTGGGGAAGAGGGAAGGTTGGGAGAGAGTGGGAGAGGAGGGAGAGTGGGAGGGGGGGCGAGAGGGAGGGAAGTGAGAGGGGGAGACGGGGGGGGGAGAGTGGGAAAGGGGGCGAGTGGGGGGGGAGTGGGAAAGGGGGGGAGTGGGAAAGGGGGCGAGTGGGGGGGGTGGGAAAGGGGGCGAGTGGGGGCGGGGAAAGGGGGCGAGTGGGGGGGGAGTGGGAAAGGGGGCGAGTGGGGGGGGGGAAAGGGGGGAGACGAGGGAGAGAGGGTGGGAGGAGTTGGTGGGGGGTGTGGGAGAAGGGGCGGGGTCTCGGTCGAGCCCTCTCCCGGACGTGACGTCATATCGACCGTCGTGGCCGCGCTGGGGCAGTGAGGCGCGCGTCTCAGCTTGCCACTTTTTTTTATTTTCAAACTCCGAATTAAGATCTCTCACCATTTAAACGACGTTTGTCTTCCCGCTCCTCCAATCTCACCCTCACCGACGTCTGAGCTTCGCTCGCCGCAAGTCGCCCACGTTACCAGCGCGGCGACGATGCCTCCCGTTGTCAAAATATGAAGAGAATTTTCGTGACTGCGGCTCTGCTCGTCGTTATCCTGAGGTGAGGAGAGACGGGGGGTGGTGTGTGTGGTGGTGGTGGTGGTGTGGTGTCTGTGGTGGTGGTGTGATTCTCTTCGCTAAGTAATGTCTGTCGAGTTTTTTTAAAGAGTGAGGGGGAGTAGTTGATGACCCTGGAGATGATCAGCAGCATCAGCAGCAGCAGATCGCTTCAAGTTGCGGTGGGAGCGGTGGTGATGCTGCCCAGTGGATCTCACAGAGAGAGATGCGTTGTCCTGTATCTAACCAGCTGAGACACACTCACGCTTTTACTCTTAAAACCAGTGGGATTATCAGAGTTGCTATATAACTTTGTGAGAGTACTGTACAACGTTTGACCAGCTGAGGTGCACCGCCACTCTTGCTGTTACACAAGTGGGATAATAAGAGTAGTTGAACACAGTGAGGGTTCAGTTAAACCACGTGAGATGAACGTTATTTATCAGTAATGCATTACAGTAGTCAACCGTGTTACAATGTATATGATTAACCAGCTGATATACTGTATTGAAACATTGCAGAATACTGTACAGTACCAGGTGTAAGAGTATTGTTTCACCAAGTGAGGTAATTTTTTATATAGCCAGGTAAGAATGCAGTGTTTGACCATATATTATTGAATCAGGGTTCCGTGTATTTAACCAGAATACCATACACAGTATTGAACCAAGTAAGAGTACCCGTTATTAACGACGCTCGTAAAACTAAACTTTACCGACCCACACTTTGAGTCATCATCATCACGATCCATGGGAAGATAGCTTCGTAGGTGTCCACTGCACGTTCGTCATTTGTTTCCACTTTCCTCTCTGTCTTGTGCCAATAATGTAAAGTAGTGGCCACATCTTTCTGGCATCGATCTGTTGTGCAGTCGTCAAGCCAATCTCTGAGGCCTCCCTCTCTTTCCGGTTCCTTCCATTTTTCCGATCAACAACAACAACACACACTTGTTTTAATTGGTGTGGAAAATGTTGACCCATACCTCGAACCCAGTGTGGTGTTTGATTTGCAGCACCAAGGGAAATTCGCCACGAATGGTCGCAGATGTGTCCATCGAGAGGCCTCATTCACCCTACCGATCTTTCCCTCCCCCACCTGTTCATAGGCAACTTGCTGATGTAGCTCATTGCAGATTCAGGTCCGCACGCTTCTGCGTGTAGGGGGGGGGGATAGAGAAGCTTGCTTGCTTGATTGCTGCTGCTGCTATGAGGTGTGGTCCTCGAGTGATTCATGATTGCACATCATTTGTGGGCACGTGAGATTGGCTTTTTTTATCAACAACAAAATAGGCCTTCAAACCATGGTGCGATGCCAACACGGGACAACACTGCAAAGCAGCAATATAGCTGCATGAACAAGTTGAATCCATAAGACGCCGGTTCAGATTGAGACTTCGTTTTAATTTCATGTTGGCAAGATTTACGCCAGGGTCAGCAGTGTGAGCTCACGTTCACTTACGTTGTGGCCCTGTGGGAGTGTGGAATGCTTTGCTTTTATGGCAAATAACACACGTTAACTTAGCACGCTAAAACATACTGTGTTATCATTTTGTCGGTAAGACATACTTGAATTGACCTAATTGCCGTGCCAGTTTGTATTCTATGCACGTACATGATTATTCTGTCACAGTGACGATGAATATTTGGCTATTAAATGCTGCAATTTGAAAAATGTACCCGCTTTAAAGTAATTTAAATTAGATATGTACATTTCACATTTACTAAAGCTCCGTCAGAAATAACGTCATTTCTTCTACTCATACCACTAGTGATGTAATTTGAGTCATGCCACTTGGCACACATCAGCCCCGTCCTGCTATCGATGTGGCAGGGACTTTAACATGCACTTCACAACAGACGATGCATTCTGGAAAGGCTCCATAGTCAACATTCACTGCTACAAGACAGAGACCTCCCAATCCAGTGAATAGCGACTCAGCATTCAGCATGCTGACTACATGACTCGACAACCAGTGTGTCCCGGCACAAACACAACTCTGATTGGTAGCACTTACCACTCTCCATTGACAGGCCATGTGTTATTGCGTGGAAGGTCCACGTTTCCGCGGCGTATACGTAAGTACGTATGTTCAACGTCTTTCGCAACGTACATAGCCAACCGTGCTAATTGGGAGATGCAATCGGAGGCAGTGACCAGTCTCTCTACAAAGCTGGTGTTCATTTTATTGATCCAAGAGGGAAGAGGGACAATTCTCCGAATCACCCCACCCCCCGTCCACGATTCGCTGTGCCACACAGCCTCCTGGCCAGCTGCTCCATACCACATTTCAATTTTATGGGGGTGGGGGCCAGTCTCTTTTTAAATTCAACATAACTAGAATTAATAAAGTATCTTCACAAAGTAGTATCTCAAGATTCTGTACAATAGGCAGGGGAATCAGATTTTTATATTCATAAAACTGGGTCAGAGCAGAGAGAAAGCAAACCCACAATACAGTAAAGATTATCACGGTTGAAGTTCAACGTACATGCAACATACGTACAAAGATTGACCGGGATTCCAGAAGGGGAAGAATGGTCATTTGCAAGCATAGGAGCAGAGGAAAGTCTTAGTGGACCTGGATGGAGTTGGCAGTGTGCGCATGATCAGGGTAGAAAGTTTTGGAAAACAGCAGAGGAAGTGGATTGACCACTCTCTCCAAAGCTGCCCATCTCGATTTGATCATACCCACATGGTCCAAA